AAAAGGAAGATCGCAAAGGGGATCGTTTACCGTGCGTAAAGCTTTCCAGACTCTTGCATTCTTTTTCTTACGAGGAGCTAGCACGCCACGAACATTGACTTCTCACGTACAACGATTATCCTTTCGTTTTTGCTCCATTATCGCTAAAACGCAGTCGTTTCATGGCCATTCGTTCAGAAAACGGTCTCATTAAAATAATTCTATTTTAATAATGGAGTATTTAAAAGGATCGTCTTAAAGTGCGAACTACGTAAGATAATTAGTTTTTTGCTCGCTCTTTTACGTTAATTAAAGTAACATAGCTATACGTTTGGAACTACTCGCGAGAGAAATGTTTTATCGATTAACATTATTTCTTTTATTCGCTTAAAATTAATGAAATGGATATCTTCCCTTACGAATGACTTATTATTCGATGGAGGAGAAAACAAGCGGCATAAACTAAATAGCGTCGTGTAACTTATTTACAATAGTCTTCTTTCGCGGGGATGCTCGTGGCGATACGTCGTAGCAGGAGCTACCGACAGAATCGATATCCATGCATTAACCATCGAATGGCTAAGTGGAAAAGCGCCGCGGATTATTGTATTAGTAATGAATGGGCCGTTACTTTATGCTGAGAGAGTTCGTTTAATAAACCAAACAACTGCTGAGCGTAATAGACGACACACGTTGTTATTCCTTCATTCTTTCTTTTTTCCATCCTTGCGATATAATCAATCGTGCATTATATTGTCCGTGAGTTTCGATCTCTAAATATACGAATGTAAAGTTCAACCGGTAAACGTTTCCATACACTCATATTATAAAATAATGACAAGTTATATATAAAGAAGAGGAGGCATTACGAACAGAGAAAGGAATAAAATTACGCTCTTTTCTTATTTAAATATCCTTTCGTATCGCAACGGTTTTAATGACTCTATCCTTTTCTGTCTTGCGAGACAATCGGCCGGTGTGAAAAGGCAAGATACAACCCTTGCAAAGAGATACGTGTTTAAGCTTTACGAAGCTCTCAAGAAAATTGGACATCCTCCGGAATGGGACGTAATTTTCCTCACTCGCAGGAGACAGATTGGTAATCGTCCTTCGTAAGATATAAAGCGCGGCGCGACGTTTCTCGTCTCGTGTCAGCTACGCTGAGAGGAAGAAAAAGGATAAGAAGAATAGGAGAAAAGAGAATAAAAAAGAAAGAACAAAAAGGAAGGGAGGGTGAAGGAGTCGGGGAGAAAGGAAAGAGAAAGGAAAGAAAAAGGAAAGAAAAAGGAAGGAAAAAGAAAAGAAAAAGGAAAGAAAATGGAGAGAAAAGTTTGGCTAACGGTTGACGGTAAAAAGGAAAGAAATCGGGACGTGTTTTGAAAGGTCTTTGATAGAAAGACCAGCTTAAATCACAGCTCAGCGTGGATGTGAAAAAAAGTGGGCGCGGAATATCGAGAGAACAATCGCAATTCCATCAACGCCGAGTGAAATATAACAGCGCGAAACTTAAATTAAATATCTTGTAATGCCGGTCACTCGTTCGTCTTCGTGTTTGCATTGAAGCACACGTGTTAACGTTTTACCCTGACGTTTTCTTTCTCCCTCCCTCTCTCTCTTTCTCTCACTCTCTCTCTCTCTCTCTCTCTCGTGCTCTCGCGTTCTTCGTTCTGGCTAACAGCCAAACTTTTCCTACATGCCAGGTTTGATGCCTAAAAAGGATCGTAAATTTATCTCGCGGCGTGTCCGCTCTACATTTGGCTTTGCGCGCCGAATAATTCATAATTATCAAAACTCCCGATAGCTAGTGAAAGTATTATCAATTGTCTTCGTCGTCGTCTTATACCACGAAAAAATGTATTCTCTGATTAAAAATTCGATATACCTAAATAAGTATCATCAAATGCATAACGCAAGATGCGTTGTTACGCAATTTTTTGTAGCTACAAATTCCCGATCGATTAATTATCAAAAGCTATAACGCAATAGCACACAGGAACCATTGGCAGTCCACACAGTCCAAGTCCGTTCATTTATAATAGAAACGTTATTAACGATCGATCGTATCAGAAATGTTATCGATAATCGGTACGTGATTACGCATTCGCGAACACGCTCGCGCCTAACAAATCGTTTACGAAAATCGTACAACCTTTTATACTAATTACGCGTTTATCGACGCGTCACAGCAATGGCGTCGAAAATAATCCTGAAAAATCAGATAAAGCGATACGCTGCGTTCCTTGTGTTCGAATCGCGCGAAGAAACAAACGCGCTAAATTTGTCATCTTTGCAGATGCAAATTGATAGATTAAATCCTTTGGCTACCCACCCATTTATCTATCTATATCAAAAGTCTGGCGCAAAATCTTCTTTTATCAATTCGTTTTCTAAAATATTTGTATAATATAGACGAGTCTATAAGCGGCTCGTTTTCTACGCGAGTCATCATATCGGTTCGATTGAAATCCGAGGAAACGATTATCGACGTAAAATTATAGAACGTTTGCGTTTGCGTTTGCGTTTGCGTTTGCGTTTACGTTTACGCTCGCGTTTGCGTTTGCGTTTGCGTCGATTCGTGTTAATAGAAATTTCCCAGAAACAATCGAGCTCGTAGAGCGTTTACTACGACGACGGATTTGCACATTCAATACAGTTACCATACCGCGCGATCGGTCACGGTCCTTTGCTCCAACCACTCGCACGAATTCAAATATCTGCTAAAATCAATCGATAGAACGAACGAGTCGCGTATCGCTATGCTGAATACGCGTACCGTACAAAACGTTTATACATGCAACACACTTTAAAAATGAATCTTCGCAAAACTATCCTTGCTATTTTTAGTAAGACACAGCTGCCGTGTCATTTTCTCTTTCCTTCTCTCCCAATCTAGTGCGTCACGATATTCGACGATATTCGACGATATTCGAAGATATTCGACGATATTTTACACGGATAAAATAAATCGTGTTCTACGTTAAAAGAAATAGAATCCATAGAAATGACAAACTGATAATTTCGCTCTTGGCATGACTGTCTCAGATGATACATCGGTAATCCCATATACAATTAGAGCTTTTCAAATACAGTACTATATAACAGAAAATTCAGAAATAAAACATAAGATAAGAATATATTCTATGACTTCATGACATGTAAAATTAATTGTTAAATAAATATACATACAAAGCCAGCATCCAATTGCGCGGTTTATACGTTGTTTCTCTTTTTCATTTGTTTCGGTAGAATTAGTTTTCTATAATTTATGCATATGATACACCACAATTAATCATAAATTATCTTTCATAAAATTGGGGAAAAAATCTTGTTCGCTTCGGTAGGAATATTATATACGAATAATTCTCTTGCTCAACTGCGAAGTAGAATCAATGAATGGAAGATGCGGTAAGTTAACTTATAATTCATTGGAAATGAATATTCTCTCGAGGATCGATAAAGAAGTTTAACGATAAATATTTCCAATTATAATTTTACTCTCCAGTATCATAATTATATGTATAAGATATCTAACAAAATTGAAATTCTTGTTGGAAAACTTTCTACTCGTTCGAATGTCTCATCGATATATCGTTCCATCTCAAAATCATGCTGCCAAAAATAATCTATGTACATACGTATAAACCATAATGTCGGAAGTATTTTCCTAGAGAGGAGGACCATCCTGGGGCAAATTCCTATTGTACCGTTTAAATAATAGATAGAAATAAAGGAACGAGCAAAGTGCCAAAGCATTTTCTGGATGTCCGAATAATTCGTTTAAGTATTGTACGATACAAGTGGGAAGTCATCGATTATTTGGTATAATAAAGAATAGAACGAGTAAAACAATAAAAGTAAGCAGGAAATAAAAGCACGGTAAATCGGACGTCAACGTTAACCAATAGCTCGTGTCAATAGCTCGTCGTCTCGTTTCTACTACTAGGAACCACGTGCGACCGAGTACCGTCACTCACAGAACAGAGTAGAAACATATTTCTGTCATCCAAAGGCTAATCGTCTAAATTTGACCGTCGGTTGCAAAGCCATCGTCTTCGAACCTGTTTATTTATCGTAGTACATCCTGTCCTTCTACACACGAATCTTTAAAACATTTTTACAACGTCGTTTAAAAAGCTGTAGAAAAGACTCGAAGGATCCAGAGTTTCTGCTTTTCGTATTATAATCGAAATGTCGAAATTGGCGAACATTCGGATTTGAAAAGTAAACGAAACTTGAACGGTGATATACCACATGGCTAGGGAATATTGTTAACTAAGAATAAAAGAAGAAAATGGTGAAAGAAAGACGCTTTAAAGGAAGAAAAAATAAGGAAAAACGAAGAAAGATTGGAAGTAACGAATATCGGGAACGCGTTCGTTGCGTTAGAAGCCGAGCCGTAAGACGACGACGCGCGCTATTCGTAAAAATAGAGCGTCCTATTCTCGTCGGTGGCACGCGGTACGTGTCATTCGAGTCGTTATCGCCCACGTTTTTCCACTTATTTAATAGCTTCGCTTTTCGAAAGAAAAAAGTTTCCAACGAATACGACGGATAAGAGGGTGTGGAAACAACGCGAGAAGATAAACTCTCTCTGACGAAAGTAAAGAAAGAAAAGGTCGAAGAAACGAAGACATTTCTAGAATCTTGCTGTAATATCTACGCTAAAGTTTCGAGCAATAAATTGATATCGCAGCTGGCTGCGTTCTTTGGCAAGGAGAGTCCATTAGTCGCGGCATTTGGCATCTCCGCTTTTGAGCTCGCGGAGTGGCTCCAGACGTCATCGTAATTACACAAACCGACCCCTGTCGGAGGTGTAAGAGAGGGACAGACAAATAAAGAGAAAAACCGAGAGATAAACCGAGGGGGAGAGAGAGAGAGAGAGAGAGAGAGAGCGACATGCCGTTGTAGAAAAGCGCTCGGGGTGCTATTTTTTGCAGGTTCCTATTTAGATTGGCGCACGCGCTTTACAAAAGAGTAACGAAAGCGATAATACTCACCAAGGGAAAAGCGTGTCGGCGTAGGATTCGAAGGAAGAGCACATTCCGAGGGCCGATAAATCGAACCGAGCGTCGTCTTGTTCTTTTCTTTACGTCATAATTTAGCTGGAAGTATCCGATCGTTGTCGAAGACGATGATGGTAGCGACTGCGATGACCGATGATGACGGTGGTGGTGGTGGTGGTGGTGGCGGTGGCAGCAGCGACGACGACGATGATAAAGGTGTGAGTCGAGTAAGTTAACGTTAGAAGAGCGCGCGCGACAACGTGCGCGTCTTCCAAGGCCGTTCCCAAGGCCGCTCCCAAGGACGCTGCTTCAAGGCCGTTTCCGTGGGGGATTCGAAGGGACTTCCCCAAGAGAGAAAGCGGACGCGGACGCGGACCGACCGACCGACCGACCGAATCAACGAGGGGGAAAGAGATGGATGGATAAACAGGCAGATCAAGAGGGAGGGAAACGGAGAGGAAAATAGAGAGTGAGAGGAGGCACTTGCCGCGATGCACTTGCCGCGCGCGCGAACTCGTGACTCGTGGTGAACGCGCGTGACGTCACAGAACTCACTCGGTTTAGTTACGATACGCTATGTCGAAAAAGGATGCGCGCGACAGAAACGCGCCCCGTTAGATCGCTTGCAAAGATTTCGACGACGACAACGACGAAAACGACGATGACGACGACGACGACGACGACGACGACGACGGCGACGACGACGACGACGACGACGACGACGACGAAGGCGACAGCAACGACGACGACGACGACGACGGCGACGACGACGACGACGTCGACGACGACGACGAGGACGACGAGGATAGAGCGTTTATTCTCCTCTTTTTAATACGCCAATACTCGCTTACGATTGTTTACCATCGAAGGGGAGTCGCGTCAAGACAAACGCGCGAACCCGCCTCAAGATTCGGTCTATCCACCCTGTCATTCGATCGCGAGACACCGACTTTTATTACTTATTTCGAAAGCGATTCTTTTTTATCCTTTCGTCTCGTCTTTTCTCGTATCTCCGATTCGTGGGATCTGTTTATTCGTTAAAACACTTGCTTTTGCAATGGTTTTCCCTCGTTTTGCGAGTGTAAAATTCGCGCACGAAACGATGCACCGCCGCGGTACAGCATCCACCATGGGGGATCTGCAACCGTGCCACCACCGACCTCGAATCGCGTACGCCGGCGAAAGTAGTGCCGCGCGCGCTTCTCCACCGAAACTCCTACGAGACACCGACCTCGCACGATCGACGACGAACTCTATCGAGAACGACCGCGCGCGCCAATTTTGATGTTTCTTTCGTCTTCCATTGTTTTTTTTTTCTTCTTGTTTCAAATTCCATCTACGTAAGAGCTCGCATTCGAAATCCCTTTTCTTTTATTTTCCTTGTATTTTCGCCAGTTTTCTATTTGTCGTGTGTTGTATCATTATTTCCAAAATTAAAATAAAGTTTACTTTCTATAAATAATATATATCTAAAATATATTATATACAGATAAAAACATGCTCAACGGTTTGACATACGTTTTCGATGCTAACCACGATTATTAAATTGTTTGTTCTTATCTTTAATTATCCTATATCTCTTCTTAGGAGGACCTTTTAGTAATTAAGAATGTGTTTAATCTGTTTTTTTGCGTTTGTAGATCGAATAATAATCGACTGTCGGCCAACCGAATTTGATTCGAATACGCTGTTATCGTTGGAGCTAGCGGTGAGGCAGGCGCACGCGACAACGGAAATGACGGCATTCGTATTTCAACATGGCAGCTACTGAACAACGTAAACAGACTGGCAATTACGGGCTCTCGTATGTTGGTAAGTATTATCCGTATTTCTTGAGGTTATTCGACAACGTTAAGCTATTATTTGAACGTACGAGATTAAGAAAGGGACGAACAACGAAAAAACGAACAGAACGCGTGCATCTAGGCGGTTAGCAAATGTAATCCGTGCCATAACTGTTTTGACCGTGGCTTTTTGACATTTTGTCATTTCAGTGGTAAGATGTTTACTCGTTTCGTGCATTGCATCATTCTTTACTATTTTGTATCTTTATAAAAGTTCTTATAAAAGAATTCAACAGTGATGAAGACGATGACGACAACGACAAACGTCGTAGTCTTTGTTCTTTCGATTCGATTCTAATACATCGATACGTTTTCATCTCACTCGTCATTCTTCGAAAATCTACGTATTGGTTTTTCGTTTCTTTCGAGAAATCTCGTATCATTCGAATTAATTGACAAATCTAAGAAGATATAGAAACTTAATAGAAATGAACGATAGGAAATAATCGAAGGATACATTTGTAATAAATAAGGTGTTTGGTTTTTTTTAGAGGTTATAACGTGTTTTTATAAGATACGATCTTTACTTTTATATCATACAACTTCCTTAGTGTAGAATTTCATGTTCTTCGTAATCGTTGACATAACGAGGTGTAAAAATAGAGATCTCGTAGCTCGACTCGCACGTAAGAATGCGAGAAGTGAACGAAGATTTGTGTATGTATGGGTTAAGGAAATAACATATCTCATATCCATGACTAGTAAGTGCTGCCCCCACGTAACCAAGATCGTGACTATTACGTCTTCGCGAGGGAGCTTTGAACTGTTTTACAGTCGCTCAAGTCTACAAGGTCTTTTCTTCGATTACTCAGCGAATTCTTTAGCGTGTTTAAACTTTTTACCTATGTATATATGCAATATGCATACGTGCGTCGAGCTCAAAGAACATTTATTTTGTTTATTACTGCCTCCTAAACTCGGAGGCGTTTCTTTTTGTTTCACTCTCTTGTTCTAATCATTTCAATAAAAAATTGTATTATTTTGCGTAACGTCACTTAAAAACATGTTTTCGATCGTTATCTTTGAAATTATAAATACATACTTAAAAACGATTACTTCATGAAAGTCGTTTTCTTCGATGCGTTTACATAACAACTAACAATAATTTCCAGCACACATTTTCGAGACAATTTTTCCAATGAGACCTCGTGAATATCGACGATTGGATTTCGTTTTTATTTCAAAACGAACCGTCAGGATTCGAGGAAAACTGGTTATTTCGGTATTGAAGGCCATATTCAGTTGGTAATAACGTTCCTGCAAACATTGAATACTGTTGTAATTAATCATGCGAATATAGAATCTCGTTCGCGTCATATTATTCGCCGTTCAACACGATACGAGGCGGAATTTTTCAAAGGACGATTTCAAATGGTCGGTTTTAATATTTCGTTTCACTACCAACACACAGTCAAAAGATTAAAAAAATATTCAAAGGAATTCTTTTTATTCCTGCGTCCTGAAATACATTACATATTTCGAAAAGAAAAATAAAACGAGAGAGAAAGACGGACAAATATCTACATAAAAATATCCAATCTTCGGAAATGAAAATATTTATCTCTGCTTTTCTATATAAATGTCAGATTAACGCATGTAGGATTTAATTAAAAAAAAGTAGCATTGAACTTTCTTCGACTCTATTTTCTATATAAATCAAGTTTGTTACGTGCTATTGTATTTTGATTATTTTTCTACTATTATATTTATTATATTTATTATATTCGCACACAAGAGAGAAAAGAAAGAAGCAATATCCGCATTGCGAGTATAGTTCAGTTGCGGAACGCTAACGCCAAATTATCAGAGGTAGGTTCGCGAGGGTTATATCGTTTGAAATTAAACGAAAGCCGCGACAATGAGAGAAGGGTGGAGAAGGGCGATCGCGGTTTCAAAGCCGATGGAACACGACCGGTCGAAAGTACAACCAAACATACTACCTATATATATATATGTATGTCGTACATACATACGTATCCGTATTTCGTATAGGAAATGAGACTCGCATATTGGCATACCTATTTTGATCGTACACGTGGCGTGTGTTTTATTGAATAGTGTGTCGCTAGCGTTACGCGTTGTGTATCGAGTGAAAACGAGTCGACTTCGTTTCTCGATAGTTTATTGTTACTCGTACTCTGTCGCGTTGTTGGGAAAGAGAAAAAGTAGAAAAGAGAAAACAATAGCCAACAATACATGTCTACAGCGTATCGAGCTACAGCCGTACGACAAATTTCTCTTTTCTATCATTGCTATGCGAACAGACGGTATTAGAGACTAATTTCGAGTAATTGAAAAATAATACCTTTTCGAATGCAATATTGTAATAGTAATCTCAAATATTGCCTCAGTTTCATGCAGAAATACGTTATTAGACTCGACGTCGTATGTATGAACATAGTTTTTTATCGAATCGGAATAATAAAGGATTTCTTACATCTTGTGACACGTTAAATGTACGCATCTAAGGAAAAATCACCTAATCAAAAAAAAAAAAAAAAAAAAAAGATGAAAAAAAAATAATAACTCGACGAAAAAATGTAGCCTTATGTAAATTCATTATAGTATGTACTATAATTAGAGCATAATGGATCTTCTTCGATTCATGGCTGTGATTGCGCATCTAAAATGCAAAAATGATCTAATATAATAAATTTGTCTCGTCGGTGCTGCAATATTGGCAACAACGATACAATCCCATTCGATTCTGGCATATTTCCTTGGTAATTAAGCTTGTACTATTCAATCAAATGAATTCGAAGCTAATCAATATAACGACGGTAATTAGCAGTTCAGCGAGTCGATTAAAAAGGACGACTTTCATGCGTTTGTATATTGAAGTTGCCCTAGGCATTCTATCGATGTCATTTTGAAACTGTTAATCGCAAGTAGTATCGATTTTTGCGAAATATCCCAACGAATTTATGAAGAAATTTTCAGCAGAAATGCACGCCAATATTTCATCCGTTCAAAGTTCTAAAGCATAGGACCAAAAAGCCACATCGTAAAATAAAAACGAGCACCGTTATGTACCCGTGCGGATGCGTTTTGTAGATGCGAGCACCGTCTATGCAATCTCCTCTCTAAATTCTGCTTGCACCAATATTTTGGAGACAACCATATTTTTGCCATTCTCTCGTAAATCTCGCAATCCTGTTCTAACGCGGCGTTATGATCTTTTCTTTCTTTCCTTTTTCTTCCTTTCATCGAATCATCACGCAAAATAGCGCAATCAGCCATGAATTTCGTTTTAATGACATTTTGCTGAATGTTCAACCGAATTAATGAACGTTTCGATAGAGTTATAATAAGTGTAGACCGAATGTAGTATGCAAATAATGAATCAACATAGGATATGCGTCCTATCAAATACATTTGCTTCGTATAAATATTTGCGTCAGAATTTGTGTCGGCTCTCAGAACTCTTCCCTAGTAGGTGGGATATATTGCATATAATTACGAATAAGCGAAGCGAGAGTAGAAAAAGTGACGTCTGTTTCTAAGGCACGTGTTGACATTTTACTCGTCGTCGGCGATAAAACATATCTGACGCGATCGGAAGACCGATTATAATCGGTCGAGTTGAATTGCATTTCCTGACTCTTTTCGCTAGAGATGAGATCTCGACTTTCTATGGAAACCCTTTTTTTCAATGATACAAAAGTGGAGAATTTATTTTTGTTCGAGAACTTTAAGAACCGCGATTACGTTATAATTCTTTATGGTCGAAAGTATATATAAACTCAATGGCGAATAGTTTTGTAGTTTGAAGATTAACGACTCCGGAGATGCCCAAAGGGGATATCAAAATCTTAACTGGAAGAACGTTCCCAGCTTGGTCGTAAAAAAAAGAAAAAGGAAACGAAAAAAGAGAGGAAACGTCAGCTTACTTACTCAAATATTGTAAATACGAGCATGGAAAACGGGTCATAAGATTGCATCGTAATATCGCATCGTAATATCGCATCGTAATATCGCATCGTAATATCGCTTGCTTGTCACGGGCTCATGATCGTTGCTCGCTGATTATAGCTGACTCTTCCAGCCTATCTAAAAAGATTTCAATTTCTGTATAACCTGTTTTAAATGGCACTTTTTGTCTATGATCGGTGTCCTTTCAAATAGTTTTTCTTTTTCATTCTTTATAATTAGTTTGAAAGAACCATGTAACGTCAGTTAGTCGTATATCGTACGTAAAAAACTGACACAATATAAAAGTCCACAGATCAAGAGTATGTCCAAAGGTTAAGAATGACAATGTGAAAATGTGTTTTCTTTCATTTTAATCGCATCTAATTAAGCTTCATGAATAATTGTCAATATAATCTCGATTTTTCGACTAGAAATAAAACACTTTTTCCGCTTTAGATTTTGACAAATATCGCGTTAACAATCTGGTTAATAATAAAAAAAAGGAAAATCTTTTGAAAACGAATCATACTTGTATGCGTTCAATAGTCGTTTGCTAATCGCGAATTCAAGCACGAGCTTGTAACACTGCGACCGAGAGTTAACGAGATTTTTCTTCTATTTATCGACTATGAAACGATGCCAATCCGCCAAATAATCCTACGCTTATTCTACTATTTTTTTTTCCTTTTCTCACATTCTATATACACTAAGCCGTTATAATAATATCCGTATTCTTGGTACAAATATTTTCGATATACATAAAAATATCGTAGAATATCGAAAGAGCAAAAACAGCAAGTATAAGATGCACTTGTATGGAAATTTGTATAAAATCTTGTTGGATTTTCACAACCCGGCAACTGTGGGATGCTGCCAAATCCCGAAACTCGATGTCCGCGCTACTCGCAGCAGCTTGGAGGTACGGTCTTCTCCACCACTGCTCACCGAGATATTTCTGGTCTTTATTCGTGCGACTTGTTAGTGCGCGACTTGACAGTGCACGACTTGTTAGTGCGCGATCGTACGTGCACCGTTCTTGCGCCGTTCGTGCACCCTTCGTGCACCACCTTTTTCTAATCGCGATTTTTGTTCTCCTCCTTCGCCGAATGTAAACCCGGAAGAAATATGAGCGAGAAGAAACACGTTCCGTCGAGCCGGAAACGGCCCGACGACATTTCGAGATTGAGATCGAGGGAACCAAAGAGACCACCCAGAACAAAAGTCAATCAATCTCCTGCCTCCGATCTAGGATACTCCTCATCTTCGCGTCTTCCAATTGTCGCAAAAGATAGAAAGGAACATGAGGAAACGAACAAAACTCGAACTCGACTCAACGATAAACGACCTATCGAGGAATTTGACTCTATTAAAGGTTTTCAACGTTTCTTCGACAGTTCTTTTTGGAAAGAGGTCTTTGGTTTAGATAGCTAAACTCTTCTTTTCTTAATACATTATTCTTGCCATTTGTCCGGATCGACGTTTCGACTAAATCCATTTTTTCTACCGAAAAATGTCAACTTCCTAATTAAGAGATCTTTCAAAACTACATTTTTTTCAGGCGGAAAAACTTCGATGACGACTCTCGATGAGAACGTGAATCCTGTACCACGGGAGTTCCAGACAATGGATAAAATTGGTGAGTTTTTTCTTCATCTTGACAAATGAAAAATGTAACATTACGTAATTATGAGCATAATTCGTTAGAACGATCAATGTTATTTTCATCTTAACGGGAATTGATATAACAGTCGATTACAAAGTAAAATTATGTTAACGTTAACATTACATATCGTGTGATCGAACGATTATTATATTATTATGATATTGTTTTATTTATAAACGTATACATATCACACATGTAATTACGTAAAATTCCAAGATGAATTCGTTATTACATCTTTTTGCACCACTTTTAATTTCTCCCTGGTATAAAATTATACATACTTCCTAACTGCGTTATCATAGAAAATAAATAACTGTATGTAATTGCATAGTTTTCGTCCTCTTACTGTACCTTTATTCGCGCAAAAGTTTAATTACGGAATACTTACGATATGAATAAAGCAAAGCGCGCGTGCTTTGCAAAATCTTTTTCCTAGATCTCTCCGTATATTTACGGTTAAAATATCTTACGTTCGTTTTATGCAACTTGAAAAATGCACGAGTACAAATTATATACTACAAATTCTGACGATGAGCTTTATTTCTGTTCTCACCTTTGTTTTATTCTTACCTTTCCTTTTCTACTATCGCGCCATGTTTTTCTCAAATGACTTGGCATAATATTATTCATTTACGTATACATGTTATGTATATTTCCCTTTGTCTTTTATGGAATATAACAGATTTACGATCGATTGACAAAGGTTAATACTAATAGAAATTTTAAATTTTATGATAGTCACATTTCATTTGGAAATACTGCTTATTGGAACTACGATATTTCTTTGTAGACACTGCTGCATTGATGCAGCCTATATGTAATAAATAAGAATAAAACTAAATTATATTTATTTCCTAATATTTAATGATAGATCATTAAATATGAAATATTTGTAACTTGTTTTGTAATTATCATCATCTATAGTTTCATATAAATTTTCTAATACCTCTTCTTGTATGATATAGATTACTTGGGAAAGAGAGAACGCATAGAGACAGTATCTATGAACAATCAAAATGAAGATACAACAGATTTTGGATATCCGGTACAAGTGGTACTTGCACAGCCTGACCATACATTTGAGTTAGACGAAGAGGCGTTGTCCAAAATTCTACTTCACGATAATATAAAAGATAGAAGTGTTGTGGTCGTGTCCGTGGCAGGTGCATTCAGGAAAGGCAAAAGTTTTCTACTCGACTTTTTTCTTCGTTATATGAACGATAAGGTACTAACATATTTAATGATATATATTATTCTAACGTATATATTCGTATTCATTTATTTACATTGTTATAAAATTGTTTTATGCAAATTTTCCTTAAAAATGCTCTCTTTTTGTTCCATGTTTATGCTTCGTTTCGTGGATGGAAATGGAATAACTTGTATATGCACTGCTTTTTCAAAATACGCAAACATAATAGTACAGTAAGGGAAAAAGTTCTGATTCTTGGTTGGGTAAAGACGATGAGCCTCTAAAAGGATTCTCGTGGAGAGGAGGTTCTGAAAGAGATACTACAGGAATATTAATGTGGTCGCAAGTTTTTCCTGCTACTTTACCCAGTGGAGAAAGAGTTGCTATAATACTAATGGATACGCAAGGTGCTTTTGATAGTCAGTCAACTGTCAGGGATTGTGCTACAGTCTTCGCGTTAAGTACGATGTTGTCTTCTGTACAAATTTACAATTTGTCACAGAATATCCAAGAAGACCATCTTCAACATTTACAACTTTTCACCGAATATGGTAGACTAGCTTTGGAAAAATCAGGAAGTACGCCCTTTCAAAGTTTGCAGTTTCTAGTAAGAGATTGGTGTTACCCGTATGAAGCTGATTATGGCGCAAAAGGAGGACAGAAAGTATTGCAAAGAAGATTAGAAATATCTAATAAGCAACATCCAGAATTACAAAGCTTAAGAAAGCACATTAAGTCTTGCTTTTCGGATATATCTTGCTTTCTTATGCCTCATCCAGGTTTAAAAATCGCTACAAATCCTAAATTTGATGGTAGACTATCAGAAATTGAATCAGAGTTCAAAGAACAATTAAAAGTTCTTATTCCAATGATACTAGCACCAGAAAATTTGGTCACCAAAAAGATTGATGGTCAAGTTGTAAAAGCCAGAGATCTGCTTGAATATTTCAAGAGTTATATCAAAATTTATAAAGGGGATGAATTACCGGAACCAAAAAGTATGCTTGTTGTAAGTATAATCAATAATTTAGAACTAAAGTATATATATATTTGTATCTTTTGTAATTATTTAAATTATCTTAATAATATTTTTTTTAATTGACCTCTTTATTGAATTGTTACTTCTTTTTCAGGCTACAGCCGAAGCTAATAATCTGTCAGCCGTAGCAGAGGCAAAAGATGTATATTTACAGTCGATGGAAAATGTTTGTGGAGGAATCAAACCATTTTTGGCTACTGCTCTCTTAGATGCAGAACATCAGCGGTGCATGGACAGTGCTATACATCACTTCCAAAATAAACGAAAAATGGGTGGAGATGAATTTAGTCAAATGTATATGGAAAAATTAATTAAGGTACTTGTAATACTTTTTAACAGTTGAAATTTTTATCCTAGGTACCCGCTTTTACTAGTCTTACTCTTTCTCTCTCTCACTGCACTATATGATGCTGGTTTATATATTATATAATATTTAGTTGCGAAAAAATTATTCTTTAAATGAAAATTTGTCATAAAAGATCAGTTTTGTATCTATATTATTCTAGGATATGGATGAAGCTTATCTTCAGTTCAAAGCGCACAATGAAAGTAAAAACATTTTCAAAGCAGCACGAACTCCAGCAGTGTTCCTCGTGATAGCTGTCACTATGTATATTTTATCTGGTATATTTGGACTAGTTGGTTTATACGGTATAGCGAATACATGCAACATAATTTTGGGCATTGCATTACTTACATTCGTTTTTTGGGCATATGTAAAGTATGTTAAATTTCATATTTTCTCTTATATTCGCAAGTATGTCGTATTATAACCTTTTATCTAAATATGTCTTAATATTAAATCATTGTAGGTACAGCGGAGAATTACACGAAATGGGTACGCGAATAGATGAACTAGCAAATGCTATATGGGAAAACGTAAGTCTTCATATTATTTACTTACTATTTCGGGTCTTAGATCTAATCTCAAAAAAAGTGAAATTTTTAACTTCTATCAAAAGAGATTATGTTACTATTCATAAAATTACATATGATCACATAGAAAGATTATACAATTCATTAATCATTGACTTGTAATACATCTAAAAAATAGAAGTAGTTAATTTATCACAAATCTGAATTTGAAACTTTGTTATAATAATAATTTGTATTGAGATAACTAACGCACGGGAAAATTATTCAAATTTTTAAAGCCTATTTTAAATATTGTATATAATGCAATAAGCACAAGCATATACAGATATATATACATACTTACACGTAAAAACACACATTACATGTGTATTAATCGTAATTTCCGCGCGTTATCCTCATTAATACGCACCATTTTTTATTTTAACAGGCCTGGCTATGCGCTCATCTTACTTATAAAATAAGATATCTGATCCTTCCTATTATTATAACTTTGATTGCAATACCTACTTATAAATTTACACATGCCTATCTCTATAAACATCGCTATATCTGATCCCACGCTTCATTTCTTTTTTATATATTCATCATTTGTCTTTTATTCAAATTAAGTTTGCATAAATAAATTTTACCAATCATTAATTATTATTGCTTGTGCTTTAGTTTTAATTTCATTATCAATTTTCTTGTTTGTTTTTCAACGTATATTCGTTTGCAAAAATAATTCTCTTAGCTTAATTATAAGTTTTGGTTTCTTTTCTCCTATAATATTCCTTTAAATTGAGTGCTAACAGGATGACACTTTTAAAAGGTATGCTCTTTGAGAATTGTCTATAATAAGGTCTATAAATATATAATCCTTATATATATAGATATTATTTCCATAATTATGATCTTGCTTTTTGTCAGTTAAATGCATAATATAAAATTTTGCTTGTATAATAATCTACGTATTAATAGTAATTACTTTGACTTATGGTTAATTTCATACTTATTTTTCTTTTCCTTTAGTTCATGAAAGTACTTTATCAACAAATTGTGAAGAAGTCAATTTCTGTAGCAGTGGTGGCGCAGGCCGCTGAATTGGCAACAAACACGACAATGAACGTCACTAGCACTGCCAATGGCAAACCAAAAATATCATAATGATCATTCCCTCCATTTTTGGATATTTTAGATGCATAAAAGCATACGTCAGTAAATTAACACCAATAAGTGGCATAACAAAATTTTCTAATATATTTTCATTTATACGTAAAGCCATAAGAAATTTTCCTTTTTTTAATGATGAAATATGTTTATAATTTGGATTGATTAAATTGAAGCGAATGAGAATGTACATATGTACATAATGATCTAACAATATCAGTGTTAGATCATTGAAAATTCCGGCTATTAACATTGTCTATGATTATTACTATTGTATTGTTATAGACTTAAACAGGTCTTATATTTATAAATAATAATGTCATAGTCATAAATTATAATACATTGACAAATATTTTTTATAATTTTTATAATTAGAATATCAATTTTTGGAAAAACTTTTACAATTTTTTATTGCCACAAATTTGGTGTAATTAGTTCGCATTATGTTTGTGCCAGAAACTTAATAATGTACTCTACTTATTTTTTTATCGAATACAATATAAATAACACAAATTGTTATCATTAACTACTGATTCTATATAATGTTCAAGCCCCTTGAATTCTAATGGGATCATGAATTCTCTTCTTTTTTTTCCTTGTTAATAATAATATGTTATGTTAAAAATCCAGTTACATAAAATTTTATTAACTATATTATAAATGTGACATTCATGATCCAAAATAAGAAGACTATGTGGGAATCTTATAATATTTTTAATTGATGGTATTATTTTGTATTTTGTATGTTCAAAAACTTTAAGAGATGTGTTATCCAACTATACAAACGCAACTGAGATATACATGCCATATTGATGTAACATGCGACTATGTTAACTCGACAGAATAATAATCTGCAGAGAGAGTCTATATGTTCTGTAAGATTGTATTATCTAATTTAATTATAAGATAAATATTGTTGCCAATGTGGTATTAATATTGATAAAAATTATGTATTGTATATGATAGACTTTATTTCCAAGATTGCTCGTATGAAAAGAAGCAGTAAAACGATACCTGTGATCATTTTTTGTGAAATGTCTAATGTTATATTCTGTATTATATCTAATGTCGTTTAAATTATCTTTATCTTTTTTTTTCTAATTCTTCAACAAACAAATATTATAAGAAAGCATTATTTTTGATTTTCGAAATATTTATAAATTTTGTATATTATGGAAAAGTCTCAAGAAATAGTTTTCAATCCTATAGACGTCACTATAACAAATATTCATTGAGTAATTGTGGATAATAAAACTCATCGTATGCATGTATCAAAATTTAGTTATCTTGCCAGATAAATATTAATGTATTTTATATTTAATTTTATATATTTGGTATAGTAAACAATTTTAATTTTCAAGCGTTTTTTCGTGTTTGTTTAGATATAATTAAAACATGATGCATGAGTTGAACTAATTTTATTTTATATAATTAGTATTCTTATGACAGCTACAGCATAAAATTTGATATTAATATATTAACAACAGAATTTATTACAATACAAACAGTAATTTATACAAAATTATAAAACCATGATGTTTTACAAACAAGAAGAACAATTGTAGTGGTTTTGGCAACATTAATAGTTTTTGCTATTGTTATGTTCTCTATTACATATACAGTGTGTGACGTACAATGAATTATAAAACTAATTCAATAGGAGATTATAAGTAATTTAGTAATTTCCACTTGCCAACAATAACATTTAAATTTGCATTGAATTATAATTCGTATAACTTTGTTTAATATGTTGCTTTATGTATTGTGGTTCAATCTTTGAAAAAAAAACTCTAATAATCCTCTGTAAATATTTCATCTGGAAAAAAGAAGATGCAAATATGAATAGACACGAATTGTCTATTTATTTAGTGTTGATTAATGTTATCAAATTTAGATTATATTGTAATAGTAGTTAAAATATTTCAACTGAACATAACTATTCATTGATATTGATCAAACAGTAAAGTTATTTTTCGTGGATTATTGTAAAAGGTGCCATTGAAGTTGCCCGTATCATATACATGGAGATTTGCAATAACATTTATTTGAAAAGAAAAAATTGCTTAAAGTTCTTCTTATGTACATAATTTTAATGTAAAATATTGTAATTCATATGGAGAAATCCAATATTAATGTGTAAATTATATGAATTAAGTTGAGATTGCATATTAATGCTGACATTTCTGTTTATGCCATTTGATATGATCGTCAACGTTGTAAGCTTAATATATTTGCAATAGCATTTTTACAGTATAAGAAAATAACTAATTCGAACTGTTTAAGTTTACAATAAATTATTTCATTTATTACACGTTCAAGAAATTGCGTGTATTGAATGTATCATTTTCATTTTGTGTGAATAGAGTTTTTGAAATAATTTCACTTATTAAACGCTTTCATACTAACAATAAAATATTTTCAAAACAATAGAAGGAATTCACATTACAATTATATTATATTAAACACTCAATTATTTATCCTTTAAATCTTTTTGTACCAATACTGTATTAATACAACATAAAATAAATTTCAAGTGTATCCATGTATATAAAATTTAACTATTGAGTAACAAATGTAGGTAGAGAATTGTTGGAAACTATATAAATAATACAAATGCGTCAAATATGGTGTAAAATTGTTATGGGCAAAATAAATACGTATTTTTCTATTTATAAAATAACTATATTTATCTTGTGTATTATCTGTAAACAATTTTAATCGCATAATTTAAATAATACTCGACGCTTAAGTTCTAAACATTCTCTTTACCATATCTTTACACTTCTCATTTGCTTCTTGTAGTTTTCGATTATAAATTACAAATTGTTGCTGTGCGGCAATATTAAGAGGCTTTAATGTAATAAGTTTTTCAAAATCTGAGACAGCATTTTCAAAGTTTCTTAATTTACCGTAAGCTACACCACGTCTATACAATGCTTTAATGTTATTTTTATCTTTATCTAAAATTATGTTACATAATTGAATTACGTATTCATAATTCTGATTAAGTATGTGACATCCAGCTAAATTGTTGTATAAAGTTATCCTCAATGCATTAATATTATTTTCTAATGATTTATCCAATTCTAAATCAAGTATTGGTTCTAGAGTTATTAAAATTTTGCAAGCTTTGCTAAATTTATAAAATGCATCTATGTGTCTTGATTCTTGAAATAATTTTACACCAACTTCTTTATATTTCAAAGCAATCTCATATTTTTCTTCTGGAGTCCAATTCCAAATTGCTTTAAAAGGTTTGAAATACTTCAGCATTACAATAAAGGTAACAATAATTTTTCCTTTTTTAGAAAAATCAGATATACATATGGTAAACAAACTTTCTTCTGCTACCATCATATACTGTATTCCCCTTTCAATTTTTCTATCGATTTCAGAGTTTGCATCTCCTATCGTTATTGTCTTTTCTATATCATCGAGAATTTCTGTATGAAGTTGATTTTTTAAATCAGTAATATTCATTCCAGTGACATTTATATCTTGTATTACAATCTGGCATTCACAACGTTCTGTTGGTTTGTTTAAACAAATGCCTTTTTTAAGTATTTCTTTTCTGATAGTCTTATCCCTAGATTCCCAAATATTATCCATTTCGATTAATATGTTTTATTTTCACAAGAAATACAGAGAGAGAAAAGGTAACTGAAAAATATTTGTCTCATTATTAGACACAAATTAAATTAAACATTATGTATTTATAATATGTCACGACTTACATATATATACTTGTATATACTCAATATACAGGAAATATATACAGTATACGATAATAACTAATAGTGATTTATATTTATTTGATTCTTCTTAGCAGAGAATAAAATCAACTCTTTCAATTCCTTCAATGTTAAATTTAAAGACAATGAAAAAACAAAGTATATAAAACTTTATTCGGAGCAACTTTGTCCGGAATTAAAAATACGATGGCTTCAAAAGAAATTGAGTCATACGTATACATTTGAGAAATGAAAAAAATGCAAACAATTTAATTCATTTTTAACAAATACAGATCACACTGTAATATAATAGAGTTTTTCTAATCATTCTTCAGAAAAATATCCTTATAAAAAGAGGTTAACTTGGCAAGGAAAGATATAGATGCTTATTGACAGTAATGCTGGTACACAAATTATATGATCGACGCCCTCTAGTGATTTAAATATTGGCGGTATATATGATTACGAGACTAATACAAATAAGAATAGCAGGAAAAAACACACAAATTATGTTATTTATAAAAATTGAAATGAAAAAAAGAATTGTTTCAGTATTAAAAAATTAAAATGTTTATAACAAAGTTTAGCTCTTATTGGACGATCTAATCATATTAAATTATAGAGTGTGCTACATATATTACTTGAATAAATGTGTTAAATAATTTAAAGTACTAACATGGAAAGAGAAAAAATTATATAGAATTAAAAATATAATTATTTAATATTTATACATTTATTTAAAGGTTAAATCAATTTTCGTAAAAATTAAATTGTTTTATTTGCTAATATAACATCAAATAGTTTATTAATGCTACATTTTTTTTTGTTAACTTTAAATTACTATGAATTACGTTGTTTTCAAACTCAATTATCATAATAGGGCTATGTTTACTTGAGGTACATAAGGTATATAATATACGAGTACTATTACTTTAATGATCTTTCTAAATCAAATATTTGATTCAAAAAGATCTTTTTGTTGCGTAAAATACTTATATCTGTAGCAAAATAAAGTATAATTTATATTATTTTATAGTTATTGGAGCCAGCCAAAAGTATTCAAATTCTAACAATAATAGTATATGAATATCACATTTAGCTTTTTTTGCTTCATGTATTTCAGATTAATTGTAATAGATAAAAAAATATCTGAGCCATTCATTTGTTAAATTAATTAACTCCATAGAACAAAAAGTCGAGAAAATTGATAGAGTATTACACACTGTCGTTTCATTTATTATTTAATAGTCATAAAAATTGTTCTCATTAAGTGATGTTACGCCAAAAATTATTAAAGAAATTTAATTTACATAAAAAAAGTTAAGTTAAAAGCGTTGATAATAAACTTTGTAAAATTTATAAAACTGGAGTTAATTGCTTCTGTGAACAACTCGTCTGTAGAAGTTTTTAGTACAATATATTAGCAACTAATGTTACAAATAAATATTCTACATAAATAATTTTCATCATTCTTTTTTCCCTTTGTGTAAAACATGTTCATTGACCATATGATAAAGCATTCCAGCACTTATGCAACCAATTACTGAACCTTGTGCCAGAACTCGAAATTGCAAGAGGTAGAGAGATACTGGCATATTTCCTCGATGTTTGAATTTATAAGCACCTATTACACAAGCTGCTATTAAACTTGCAAAACCTTAAACAAAAGAATATAAGCAATTAAAAATATATTTTCGATACAAAAATGTTTAAAAGATTCACTGCAATGTGCGTTTTAAAATAGTTATCTGTTACTTAATAGATTATGCATACCAGCCATCAAAAAAGGATTTTTTTTTGCGTGCTGAGTCATTCTATCAGTTATGCTTTCTTCGCGTGATGCTGATTCTTCTTTTCGATCCATTTTGAATATATAAATTAGTCCCAACTCTATAAACAAGATCAAATTCATAAATGTAACTTTGTACACATCAATTTATTTTGCATCTATTAGCTGTTCACATAATTAACTATTAATCTTAAAAAATATGTTAAAACAATGACAATGTACTAAATGCAATATATAATACCAAACGATATATTATCTATCTCAACTGTCATCAATCAAATCTAAAAAAACGTCATTTAATTATGAAGAGTCAAGGCCAGCTCTAAGCTAATTGTAAGTAACAAGAGGTACCATCGTAATGGTTTTTTTAGCACTAACGTTCTAAGAAAAAGTAATAGTATTAAAGAAGATTAAAAAGTCGAAACGTTGTTGATACGAATAGTTCCTCTAAAGAATCGTATTATATTAATAAAAATTAAAAATTAAAATATTTTTAGTCAAACTGATTTTGGGGTGCCACATACCTCCTAACGGCCCTGTGTAGAGTTTGATACACTAATGAATCTACTTTTATCTATACATATTACGCCATAATTACATGTATTTTATAAATCTTATAAAGAGAAAATATATGATTTGTAAAACATATAATAATAGATGCAATCGAAAATTAGAAATAATTTGAAAAAAAATATTTTCATTCAGGTTAATCTCATTTAATGTTTTAATATATAACAAGACTACAAATTTTCATTGATCTTGAATTAGTAAGTATGTGTGCGCACGCAAGGTTCAGGATCACGAGAATGGACGTACCAATGAATCTATAAATGTCTATATACATATATATATATATATATAGATAGATAGATAGATAGATAGATATCATATGTACATTCTCTATAATGAATTATATAAACAGAAATAATATATTAAAAACAATATTATTGAAGTTAATAAATGTATTTTTTTAACGTATAAATAAAAAAAGCTAACTAATGTAATTTAATCTATTCTTGCATCACCATATAATATGTTTAATTGAGTTTTTAATCATTTTTTCTGTTCACATGTCCTTAGAATAAGGTTATAAGATTTGATTCATTATTTTACCAAATGACATATTATAAATATTGCTTCTTACCTTAAGTGTATCTGGGACCGAATATAAAATCCAGTTGACTAAACAATCTTCACTAAAATATTAAATTATGTGAAGAAAATAACAACAAATGTTACTTTAACAAAACCAATCTTTACAGTTTAAAATTCAATTAAATCTATACTTTAAGTTTTATATCTTCTTAGACAAATGTATAGGCAGTGATTTTTTTACTAGTACTATTTGATAGTATTACTGCTACTGTTGCTCAAGGTGCTGCTGTTACTTCGTCGTTGAGTCGCGTAGAAGTAAAGAAAACGGCGGGAACTTCATGCAATTTATATACTTCCTCTGATTGTTAGTGAATGTAATACGTGAGATCTTTTGATAAATCAAAAAATATTTCAATTAATTTTATTATATACGAAGATAATTTGTTTACATCAATTTTCATGAACGTCCCGAAAATATATTTCTGTAATTCATTTTTCTTAAAATACTTCAAATTAATATAAATTGTGTCAATGTAATTAAGGCAGGGTCAGTGTACGTGCTTCTGATCGGGTACGCATCTTTTACTTTCAAAAATTTTCGGTAAGAACGTGTCAAACGAAACGTAAAAATTTTTTCTATAAATATCGAAGGAATTGAGATACACCGGAGAAAGTGTTTCTTGTTATTATATTATATTTGTTTTTATACTTTGATTTTTTAATAATTCTAATGAAAACATGATGTATGCATTTATATGGAAATGTATTTATACATACATTTATTTATTTCATTAGATACGGTATAAATTGAAAAAAAATGAAATTAATTTTGATTGAACATTCTAAATTTGTAAATTATAACATTTCCTTTATTATATATAATCAATTAAAGTTAATGACTTAGACGATAATCTCGAATAAATGATGTTATGTAACTTTTCCAGTCCCTTCTATGTATTCTTATAAAAAGAATATAAACTCACGTAAAAAATTGTAACTTTTGTACATTTGGATTTAATATAGAATAGAATTTTTAAATTGATGAAGAATAAGTATATATAATTTTTTCACTGATTATTATTTAATACATGATTCACACGTTGTATATACTTAAATCATGTGATATACGAATCCATGCATTTCATGTGCATGTATTATTAAAGTTCAAATGTATTATAGTATTGTCCAAAACGAACTTTTTGGTCAATAGTTATGCCAGTTAATGGTTAAAAAAGTATTGTAAAGTTGCATGAGGTATAAAATATATAGAGAGAAAACATAGCAAGAAGGAATAGAAACATACTTGCGAGGTTGTCATTTTAATAGAAAGGAATGTAGTTTAGTGAATGTGACAACGTTGTAAGCTGCGTATGCGCATTTTTTATATGACTGTATATTCCAAACGTGTTCCTGTCTCACGGTAAGTAGTGGGGAGAAGAGGATTTAGTAACATTACCAGTGAAACAATAAAGACAGTGTCGACAGGAACGTCAGTAATAAGAAGATTCAAAAGAAATTAGTTGATCGTCTATCAAATAATCTCGTAATGAGTAATTCTTAGTTTTGCCAACTAAATTGTAATATAATGGAAGCTAGATTCATGTGATCAGCTGGGAGTAGCTCTTCAACGGCAGATTTAATTCTATCCTGGAGTAATAATTAGCTACGGGATATCAATTATCGCAGCATTATTGTAATTTTCGAACTTGGGTAAAATATTTTTTGATTTTCGATATTTTTACACTTGTGTTCTTTTTCAACTCGATATGATGTAGATAATATGGTATCCATGTTCAAATGGAAAATGTTTTTACGCCATCAAGTTGAAAAAGGATCAAGCGTTGATTTATTCTACACCTTCTGCATAGCAATCATTTTTCTCGTTATCTCCAATCTCTCTCTCTCTCTCTCTCTCTCTCTCTCTCTCTCTCTCTCTTTCTCTCTCTCTCTCTCTATCATTGAGATAAATTGCTTAAAGATTTTGGAGATGGATATATCCGATAGAAGCGTCGATAAAAAAAAGATTGTTTGTTCTTATCGAAAGAATCAAAATTGTGTATTAAAAATTGAAAATTTATTTGTAAAGAATAATGTACGATGAAGATTAATTTCGATAAATTTGATAATGAGTGTATATACCTTACAGAATTATTTTGATTAATGCAATGCTTGTATTCTGTATCATCAAATATTTAATGTCGAAGTCAATACTATAACAATATCATATATAGGTAAAAATTTAATATAAAAAATATTTTATAGGAAGACGGCGATAAGATAAGAATATCAAAGGAAGATGACGATAAAAAAAATTTGTGGAATAGGCGCTGGATACGTTGGTGGGCCAACGTGCAGTGTGATCGCTTTGAAGTGTCCTGAAATACGAGTAACCGTTGTCGACAAGAGCAAAGAACGAATAACTCAATGGAATTCTGATAAATTACCAATTTATGAACCAGGATTGGATGACGTCGTGCGTAAATGTCGCGGTAAAAATTTATTTTTTTCCACTGATATCGAAAGCGCTATTATGGAAGCCGATTTAATCTTTATTTCGGTGAATACACCGACAAAAATGTTCGGTAATGGAAAAGGAAGAGCAGCAGATTTGAAATACGTCGAGAATGCCGCTAGAATGATCGCAGAGATTGCGACTAGCGATAAAATTGTTGTTGAAAAAAGTACGGTTCCTGTACGAGCAGCCGAAAGTATCATGAATATCCTTCGTGCTAATCACAAGCCAGGCGTTTCATATCAGGTAATGTAAATATGTATTTTATTCTATAATAAGTACTTTTATCTTTTTTCTTTTTCACTTTTTTTTGAACGATTACACATCGTATTGAAAATTATTTTAGATTTTATCGAATCCAGAATTTTTAGCAGAAGGAACTGCTATCGAAGATTTGGTAAATGCCGATCGTGTATTAATCGGCGGTGAAGATTCACCCGAAGGACAAGCAGCTATAGAGGAATTGTGTAAAGTCTACGAGCATTGGATACCAAGAAAAAATATTTTAACTACTAATACTTGGAGCTCGGAATTATCAAAGCTGGTACGTTTGTGTCATTATGTTAATGCCATTTATTCGGTATGCAAAGAAAGTGGTTATTACGTCTTTCTCATGTAATACAATACAGAGTTTCTATTGAATAGAACTAAGTACATAAGAGGTTTATTTTGTAGTTCAAATAATAATTATAATCATATCTTAAATTATATATGGTTGTGCGAAAAGATCTAGCCTATGTTTTCGAAATAATTTGGAACTGTACGATCGTTTACGGTTTTAGGCAGCCAACGCTTTTTTGGCACAACGTATATCGAGTATAAATTCTCTGTCAGCGGTGTGCGAGGCCACTGGTGCCGACGTGTCAGAGGTAGCACGAGCTGTTGGTCTTGATTCTAGGATAGGCTCCAAATTTCTTCATGCATCGGTCGGCTTTGGTGGATCGTGTTTTCAAAAGGATATTCTAAATTTGGTATATATTTGTGAATGCCTCAATTTGCCAGAAGTTGCAGCTTATTGGCAACAAGTAATAGATATGAACGAGTACCAGAAGTCACGATTTTCTGCAAAAGTGATTGAGTCGTTATTTAATACTGTCACGGATAAACGGATCACCATATTAGGTTTTGCCTTCAAAAAAAATACCGGTGATACTCGTGAGTCACCTGCTATTCACGTTGCTAAGACTCTACTCGATGAAGGTGCTGTCTTACATATCTACGATCCCAAGGTTAATTTCTCTTTTTATATATATGTTACTTTGCAAAGCGTGAAATTAAATAAAAAAATTCTTTTTATATGCTTTCCTTAAAACGTGTAGTTATTTTACGTATGAAATGGAAAAGTTCTTATTTAATTCTTTTAGGTAGAAGAAATGCAGATTATAGAAGATTTGACGCATCCAAGTGTAACGGCTAATCCGAAGCGAGTTAAAGATCGTATTAGTATTTACAAGGACGCTTATACTGCTACCAAGGATACTCACGCTATCGTCTTGTGCACGGAATGGGACGAATTCATGGTGAGTACAATATTTCTTTTATTGTGAGACGAATTTATGAGAGATGAGTACAACAAGTGCATACAAATCCATACAATTTTAAGATAGGAGCAATATTTTACGTTTTACAATTGATATTATCAATTTTGTTCATAATTCAGGAACTTGATTACAAAAAAATTTATGCAAGCATGATGAAGCCAGCATATATTTTTGATGGAAGAAAAATCTTGGATCACGACACGTTGCAGAGAATAGGATTTATTGTACAAACAATCGGCAAAAGACTCACGAGAACTGGGATTTCAAGAGTGTGGGGAAGTCAAACACAAATGTAAAGTAAAATAAAAAGCTCGTACGTATGCTATCTTAAAGCAATAGGTTCGACTTGGAATAAGATTAAATTGAGGACAAAGCGAAAAGAAGTCAAAAAGAATTATAGCGATTGAATGATTACGTATCGGCTGTGGCATGTGCGAAATCGGAAAAAGTGATAAAACTTTTTATCTGGCTGTATCGTATCAGTTACTTTGGAAATTGGCATATCATGTTAAATAAACTTACCGGAGTAAGAAATATTTGCCAGAAAAATGCGTAACTAGTACGAATATAATGCTACAAAAATATTTATAAGAATATTTAAACAATTTCACGGCACTGAACTTTATATATTTGTCATCAAACCGCGAGGATAAAATATTTTACAAATCGTTCCACTGTATTTAAACGTTATCTAATCGTTACTAAGAATATCATCTTTAAATAACAGTGTACATTTAAAACAAACTTTTAGTATTAATATGTCTGATTTAAAGACATTCCGAGGAGGAAATTGTGAACTGAAAAGTGTGAACATCAAAGGATATTGATGTTAAACGCTGTATTATTGCATTTGTTTTTATAAAGAAAGTCGCCATTTGAGATTTACAGGATCACTTACAAGATTGACGCGAAATGGATCTTGCAAACATTTATTTAGTTAAAATATAATGTATTCGATGCATTTGCTACACGTTATTACGATTCGAAATGAAGTATTCAAGAGAGCTGAATAGAATACCATTAGATAATGGAGCGAAAGTACAATCATCGTCTCTTACGTTCCTATATTGCATACGGATCGAAAATGTTGTTTCGTCATGGCGTCAAAGTGATTATCTATTCAAAGATCAAAGTTTTATAGGTATCTAGTAGTTTAATATAGTTATTAAATTCCATTTATCTTTGCGTCCTGCATAACTATTCGTGATAAGGATTATTCATTTGATTTTACATTTATATCTCTACTCTTTAATTAATTAAGATAACAATTTGTATACACTTTTTACAACGGTGTAAAACATCGATAGCAATAAATATACGATTATTGTCATATTTGAAATATTAAATTTTTACGTTTAAAAACCTATATTTTAAAAGGAATTCATGTTGTATTCATATCGCTTATTTGCGAATGTAGTATCATTGAGCGCCGCCAGATGCCGTATGAGTAATGATAGAGTGCGTTATTGTAGCAGATAAGCAAGCAGTTCAATCGACATTAGCAAATCGCGAATCGTAGCAGGGTGATTATTGTAACGAATCGTGATAGCAGTGGCTGGGTAGAATTGCGTATGATCGGCGTGACACAACGACGACGACGGTGAAATAAGAATCTTTTCTACGAGCGAAATCTTCTAAAGAGTGTTTGTCAGTGGTTAATAGATGTATGAGAAGGAAAAGAGAAGTAGTAATATCGTGGACAAGGATAGTGGCAGAATATCGAAGTAGCGCCGAAGGAGGTGAGGAGGAGGAGGAGGAGGAGGAGAAAGAGCTTACATAGTAGCGTAACGTGCGAGGGTGAAAGAGACAGAGAGAAAACGGGTTGCGATGCGATGATCGTTCGACTTCGATTAAAAAGAACCGAGGGAAAGAAAGAGAGAACGAGAAAAGAGTGACGATAAGTCGGGTTCTTAGCTAAGAAGCAGCACACGGTTGTAAAATGGCGGCGGGACCGGCTGTGTGGCGACTGGTAAGGATTTGGTCGCTGAGCGTTGACTTCGTTTAATCTAACTAGGTCGAAAATAGAGTGATCGAGAAGGATTGTCATGATAGAAGATTAGATCCGTTAGGTAGAGAAGAAGTGGAACGGAAGGAGCGTAGGCTTGCATGATTTTCGAAGTAATTCCGCGCCGCTGATGAAAGATGCCGCATCCGTGCCGGTAGTGAATAATTGGTGGTGGCGCAAGCCGCATGCGAAAATCGCAATGTGATCCGTTTGCATCGCGAGACGAAAAGAGAAATAGACAATTAGCTTGAAGGGAAGTAAAAGGGTGCGGAGCAAAGAAATAGACATTTTTTGTGGTTTTTCTTTTCAGTCCAAGTCGTGGAATTACTGTACATTATCAACGGTATTGGAAGAACAGGAGAAGGAGTCGAGAGGTGAGAGGAGAAGGGGGAGGCAAAAGTAGGAACGTTTGACAATAGAAAGATGACAAGGTCGTCGCATTTTTCGACGTCGATGTCGAGCCGTGGTTGTTATTGCTGCTGCTGCCGCTGCTGCTACCGTTGCCGCTGCTGTCGTCGTCGCCGCCGGTGTAGTTTAACAGGAACCGCGAATGTAATCGTAAGAAAAGTTGCGGAAAGCATTGCCATTAAACAGCTCGGTGCTCGTTACGATTGAGGATTTCACTACTTCTCTTTTCCTCGAAATCGTTTTTTTCACCGTTGGAGGTGGAGAAAAAGGAAAAGGAGGAAGAGGAGGAAGAAGTGGAGACAACGGTGGAGGGGGACGAGGAGGAAGAAGAAAATGAGAGACGCGCGCGGAAGCTATTCCGCGAGTGTTCTCGCACTAGCGGTTTTTTTCTTACTTTACGTGTCATATTCTGTGGACGGTTAGTATCTCTTATTATGTTTATCGTTATGCATACATTTACACGTAGTAGCAACGTAACGTACTCGAGATATTCTTTGCTCGCATTTACGTATGTACATATGTGTGCGTCGTCTCGTGGTGTGTTTGCGCGAGCGCATATGCGTGCATACGTATACGTATATATTTACGTATGTCACACACCGAGCACCAACAAAGAGGGAAAACGCAGAACCGTGCGCGTTCGACCGTACGCGCCTTCCCGCTCTTTTCCCTCTACAGTCTATGTAAAGTGTGTAACGTTGCATAAGCAACGAGTCGGTTAGCCCGAGAATAGCCGATTCAATTTCTTCTCTTCGGAGATTCTGCGTCTGTAGAACTACTTATACAGGTTATGTATATGTATGTCCCCCGCCCCCCTCCCTTTACACACGTACTTTCCTACATTTATGTGCACTTGAAAAAATTAAGTGGGCTCGTGTGTAATATCGCTAGATACGTTTTGTTCGATCATTGCTTTTTGCATTTCACTCTTCTTTTTTATATTTATCATTCCTTATAATTAATGATAGCGATTAGCCTAATAATCGAGTGAGATAAGTTACGATATTTATTCAAGCGATTAAAATTTATATTTAATTTTTCTTCCTTTTTGATAAATAATATAACATAGTATTTGTTTTGTTGAGACATGAAGCGTGGACAGTTTTGACTGATAATCGTCGATAGAGTCGATATGCAATCTTCTCAGAAAATAATATATCACGCGAGCAATCGATTGATCTAATGTGATATACAATGAGAGGGAGAGGAGAGCGCGCGCGCGAGAAAGAGAGAGAGATGTGTCATATTCTTGTCAGTTGTGTTGTAAGTATGTCCAGTTAATCTTCTTATAACGCGTTATAAGAAATTCAAACTACGAATATGTAATATGATTATAATCGCGTCTACTATTTATTTGTTTGGGAATGTATTTGCTCTTGTAATATATATATATCCAATCCATTCATTATACGAACGATTAACGAAAATGCTCAGATTCTTCTTTTCTTCCTGTTGTATATATAATTATGCACTTAATAGATTTGCTAATAAGTTACATAATTATTTGCTGTTTAAATAGATCTCGTTAGAGAAGAATAGATATATGTTAGAAAAAATTGAATATTCATCTTGTTATCGGTTTTTCTTAACTTTGGAGCTGAAAGAGAGGGATAGAGGAAAAAAGAGAATAAAGTTCTAATAGCAGCAGATCTCGTGGGCGCGCAAAAAAATCTTTTATGGAGAATCATTGGTATATGTTGAGGCAAGGTATACTGCTTACAGAACACACGTGCATTTCTCTTTCTCTCGAATTTGCGTTGTTCACTCGAATTAACTTATTCTAGCTTACGTAGCTCAACTACGACATAACAGTTTTACTTATCTCTCAAAAGATCTACCGAATTAGACGAATTTTGATCTTCGCTTATCTCCCTTATTCACTTTTCGCTGAGGATAACTGTAACATACGAAGAAAAAATACATATCGTCTAATCTTTCTTTTTCTCAGAGGGTTTGTTATCAGTAGTGTCAGTGGAATCGCGTTTCAATCTTTTTGAAGACATTTTCTACGAGTACTAAATTAGAATAGTTAGCTTATATAAAGCAATTATCTATACACGATGTATTTAGAAGACAAGCATTGATCTATTGGATTATATTTTATTAGCTTTATTTTCTGTTTGGAACTAGCAGTCAATATTATAATAGAACGCAAGCAATAATCCTGTAAAAAGATTTATTCAACGTGAACCGATCAGGCTTCTTTCTTATAAGTCAATGATGCAGCGAGGCATCGTGTTTTGGAATATCGTTGATTATTTAGGTAGTCTTAAAGAAAATTTCGAAAATAAAAATAACTTCATGTTGTTCTTTATTTCAGGATTAAAATGTTACTGCGATATTTGCACGGATAACAATCACACGTGTGAAACCGATGGCTATTGTTTTGCCAGTACGAGCCTGGAGAATGACGTTATCACGTATGCCAGGAGGTAATGAATCTGCATATGGATATTTTTTCTTCATTCTCATTTTTTCTCACACATCGATACAGATGTCAATGGATACGTTGAACTTCAGTCATATAAATCAATAAATGCTTATCGATCGTCGATACGAGGAGGGGCATCATACACCATATGTATATCGTAATTAAGTTTTTCCAGTTTCCCGTGCGATCATTAAAAAATTTATCATAAAAGCATTATCAAAAAATTTAAATATTTTCGGAAAAAAATGTGCCTTAAAAAATTAGAAACGCAATGGTTATTTTCACGATCGTCGAGTAGTGTTTTAAGTGTATTAAATATCTAAATTTAAATAATATGAGACCTACGTTCGGTATTATATATAATAAAAGGGTTGCTTTCGTTACGATCGATTCCCCTTTCTAGGAACGTTTTAAATTCTTTTTCGGGCTAGTCGCCAAGGCACGATTAGCGACTATATTTCGGCGTAGTCGAATTATGCCTCGATAGATACGAATTATTGTTGTTGTCCGCCGCTTGTCGCGATGGTAACGTTCCGCGCCGAATTTTCATCGACTTTCATCCGACCAACGCGAAATCGTCCGTTTGTTTCTTTCGTTTCTTTCACGGTTTTAAGATATTTTAAACGATAGATACTAGATTTTATTATTTTTTTCTTTTTTTTTTCTTTTTGCATGTTGGGGGTAGCCATGAGTGATATTATCTTTTTTTAAATCTATTTGATCTATCTTCCAGAATCGTTTTCGAATCATCATATGGCTACTTATTCGATTTATATTAACAATATAACAATGGTTACATTTATTGAAAGGTTCACGAGTCTAATTTGATTAGAAATTTGTTGGAAATAAAAAGGAACGCGAGGAAGATAAGAAGAAGGAAGGAAAAATCGTAAAAGAGGGAGAAAAAGGAAAGAAAAAAAAACGAATATGGCGATCGAAAGCATGGGAGGTCGAAAGTCTGAAGATAACATGAACTCCGATTCTGCAAATGAAAAAGTCTCTTTTCTCTTTTAATCGTTACCCCTTCGTATTGATATAATAAATGATATAAAGTCTGGGAATTTTCATGCTTAGGCTAGTCGCCGAGCGTCTATGTAAAGAGTTGATCGGAAATGAATTTAGGGTTGTTTATAGTTCGGAGATATTATCGTCGAATCGTTTATCGATCCACTTCAATCGCAAACGCAGACATAGGACACGTCGATGAGAGCTTTCTAAACGTCAAGCAAACTCGAACGTCACTACCTACGAACTAGCAAACGACGCATGGACACTGGCTAAATATTTAATGCGCCAGACGGGGATAACTTGGTCTGGATCGAATCGAAAATAACGCGCGACCGAGATTATTTAATTGCGAAGAACAAGCGAGAGTCAATTTCGCGTTGATCCAATATCATCGCTGCCGCCATTCGTTTGTTAGTTCGATGGTCTCCTATGAAATAATTCAATGCAAGATATCACGTGCATATAGATCAGCCATGAATTTACTTTTTTTTTCTTTATTTTCCTTTATTTTCCTTTTAACGGCAACGATTGACCCTTAGTTCCCAGCATCGAGGACCACGATCCTTCATACAAAATGCCAAAATAGGAATCGAATGGGTATATTGCGTCTTATAGTGAATCATTTTAGATATATTAAACGTAAGATTGTAATGTTGTGAAAGGTGCCTCGATCGAGGGCATTGGTTTCCACCGGAAGACCCACGTATCTGCAATGGTAAGCCCGGCATCTATCGTTCTCGAAGCTGCTGCGATAATGATTTCTGCAACCGAAATTTACATCCGGATTTACTGTCTTCCGCTTCGCCAGAATTACGGCCAGGTATTCAATTTCTCGCGGTTTGACCAAACGATGCAGCCTGACGTGTGACGTGTACCCTCCTTTTTTCTTCCTCCCTTCTTTTGTGTGCCAATAATTCTATATATATTATCATTAAGATAAGATTGTCGCGTTATCGCAAAAGAAAATGATCATTTTATTCTTGCCACTTCGAATAGAAAAGCAAAAATAAGTAGTAAAGATACATAGACGGAAACCCTATGGAACTAACGGTGCAAAAGGCGTTAATAACAACGGCAACAATTTTTCCAGCGAGGTGAGGTGCATTCCTTACAGTTATTCCACTCGTGGATTCACGGAAACGTTATTGCGTTAAAAAAAAAAGTTCTAACAGGATGCTGCTTCTTTGACGCTGTTTACGTTTTCGTCTTTTTTTAGCGCGAAATTGAAAAATAAACAAAACGCTCTCATCGCGTGGAAATCGTGACCAATGAAGTTAGATTTTTTTTATAATGCCGCGCAGTATTTGAACAATAATGTAATATTTCAATTAACAAGAAATTTAAAATATACGTGAAAAAATTGTCCGTGCTAGTAAGAGAATGCCCTTCCTTTTGCTATATAAAACATTGCAATACTTACTACCGTGTTTATAATTTTTCTTTTTTCGTTGTTTTCTTTTCTTTTTTGAGAGAAAGAGAAAGAGACAAAGAATCTTTGACTAACCGATTCTTCTTGTGTTAGTAGTTGCACTGTGATATCGTGATTCACTCTCTGAAAGCTTTTTGGAGCGTGTTCGTTTTTTTGCCTTTCCTTTCCTTCTTCTTTTTCCTCCTTTACGAGAAAAATCATCGCGTGATTCGATGACGATCCAAACCAATTAACGTAACCACCACCACCTTACACTTTACACCTCTTTTTGGTTTGTGTTCATTGTTTTATCTATTTTTTCTTTTTTCGTTTTTTGCCTTGCCCGTGATAGAAATTGCGTGATGCGAAAATAACAAAAAACATAGAGAAACAAAGTTACTGGAAAGTTTAGCCAATCTCCGTAAACCCGGCTACCCCCGCAGTAACGTATTTTATGTATACGAAGGAGTGTTGAGTTGCACGGTATTTTTTTTCGATCTTTCTTTTCTTTCTTCGATTGCTCTTCTTCACTTTGATTTCTTTCTTTTTTTTTTATTTTCTATTTAATTTGTTTATTTCATACAACCCAACCACCAAAACCCAACCAACCTCATTTGCGTTGATCCATATATTTTCTGAACAAGTTCCTTTTGGTTATCATCGCGTTTTATTTTTCTTCCTCTACTCGAATTAACTCGATTTACATACACGCGCATTTTGGCCATGAGATAAGCTATATATTATAATGCTATCATGATCCAACTCTTTGAAAGTTCGGTGTAGTTCTTCTTTATCGATCCTTTCGGCCGCAAATGCATTTTTATGCATTTTCCAGCATAACGAGATTAATGAAATATAAAAGAAAACAAATTCAACGTTCTCGTCGGTGAAAATCTAAATAAATTTCAGATCTTTGTTAACGTTGCGTGTAATACGAACGAATTTATCGATTCTCAACGTAGTTTCGTTTGTAACGAGAACGAGAACGAGAACAAGAACTACAAGAACTAGCTAGTGTGTTCTCCCTTGTTTTTCTGGTTGATCCGTTTTTGTATGAAACTTTTGCAAAATCGGCTTGAAGGTGCGTGAACAAACAGCTGTCGTCGTCGCAGCCCGAACCGCTCATCTTCTGCATGACGAGCGACTCGCGAAATACGACCTTTGTCATCGAATGCTGCAAAGAGGATTTTTGCAATCGGGATCTGAAACCTCAGCTACACCCTCGCACCAAAGAAGGTATGATCAACCGTGGGAGCTCCGGACATAACGGAAATTCCACAGGTGGCACGGGCTTTTGCTGAGATTTTTCCTTTTTTTTTCCTCCCCTTTATTCTTTTTGTCAGCCTCGCTAATTCGTGCTATTCTAATGCTAATCTATCCTATTGTACATAGTATATTATATGAGCCGTTTATTTTGAAAGTGGCCTAACTCCATTTGTCAATTATTTCCGATTACGCATGGTTACATGTACAACTTTAAATTATCTATCAATAAAGCATTTAAGATTACTTATATTCTGAGTAAATACGGTCATTCTGGACACATACATTTTCAGAGTTAGTTGAATAACTGAGCCGTTTATTTTGAAAGTGGCCTAAGTCCATTTACATTTAAATTACTGCTACTTCAGTAGCATATTATAAACGCAATATAACAAAAGCGCTAATAATAATTTACTGTTTGTCCCCCGAGATTATTACAATATTATCGAAAAGTGTCGGAAAGGTAATAACTTTATTCTAAATGAAATGAGACAAGAAGATTTTGTATTAACAAAATTATTAGAAGACGCAATTTTTAAAAGGGTAAAAAATTCTAACGGAGAACCAATAAACTGGTTTAACATATGTTGGATGCGTTTTTTCAAAAATGAACCGTATAAAGTTTTCTATAAGACATCAATGAATGAGAACGAAAATTTTAAAGTCCACGTCGGGGTAGACCAAGAAAGTTCTAAAATATTGTATTCACATCACTGTATAAAAATATCAGACAAATTACAACCGCAAAATTCAAGGACATAATTGACTTATTACGATATATATCAGCGGAACATCACGATTTCTTTAAATCCCTTTCACATACACAAAATGTAGATGAGTAGAAAATTGTTTTGTAATTTATGTTTGTAAAAAATGTTTTAAATCGTATAATTTATGTTTTTAAAGTGTTATAAAGATATGTTAAATAAAATGAGTATTGTTTTTTTTCAATTTAAAGCATCTTAACACTAAACCTACCGACATTTCATGTATACCTATTCCTACCATGAGCGGTCAAATGACCGCTTTAAAAAGACATGTATCTTAATATTGAAAGAGATTTTTGCCAATTGGATATTAAAAAAAATATTTTTTTGGTGCTACAAAGACACCCGCACCCCGTTTTTCTATTTAGAATTTTTTATTTATTCATTTTTTGCACATTTTTTTACCAATTACAGCATTGTGTATTGCACATTGTCCACATACGTTTTTTTTACATTTTATACAAATTTTGTTAGTCTTATTGACTTTACAATATCTTATATGACAAAATTTCTGTCCACAAGAATTTGTAGCTTTATTTATTATTGTTTTTGTTGAACATTCTTTTCTTAGCTGTCTTTCCTTCTGATAGTCAGTCCCTAGCTCTTCTGCTAATTGAAATAAAAATTCTTGCTTAGATATTTCTTCACTCGTCGTTACTTTATATAAAATCCAAGCATTTATTTTGGCTAAATCTAAGATATTGAAAAATATCTGTAAAGACCATCTATGATATTTAGATTTCACACTATATTTTCTGGTCATTTGATCGGTTACATCTACACCAAATTTTGTTAAACTTTCAAAACTAACTATAAATCTCTTTCTTTTTTGTCCTCTTCGTATATTCAAAATATTCTCTTCCTCTGAACCGCTGTCAAATAAGTCACAATTATTTTCTACTATATCATTATCATTATCGGAAACATCTTGGTCATCTTCCGAACGAACCTAATCGATATTATTTATTTTTTCTAATAAATTGATATTTCTTTGAATGTCTTAATATTTTAAAGGATAAATATACAAATGATAAAGTAAAAACCAAAGCAAACCAAATATTGTAAGCTATGTTGACTTTGTTGAAACTATCACTTATACTAAGTAATAATTTTTATTATAGACTGTAAAATTTTGATGACTACTGTTTAATCGCAAGACCGTACTGTCGTATAAAGACCGCTATGCAATTGTGTTCCGTCAGTTATTGAAATACCTAAAGTAAAGAAAATTTTGATCGTATTCACAAAAAGAAAGATACCAGAGAAAAGGTTTTTCAAAAAATAAAGAATACTATTTTAGGAGCACAGTGTTTTACTCCGTCGACAAAAATAAGAAGATTATCGATAGCTACCTAGTTATCGCGTTCGGTATCATATTCGCGATTCCTAGAATTTGGAGAACCGTATTTTTGTCAGGTACTCTTACTCCAATTTGTTCTAATCGCTCAATTGTCCACATTGTAGATTCACAATTATATTGGTGACTCTTAAAACGATTTTAGGATAGCGCTTTTCGAAGAATATAGTCTTAAATAACATGAATTTTTCAAACGGTCAAATGACCGCTCGTGGTAGACAAGACATGCTATGGATTTTTTTCAAAAAGTAAAAAATAAAAAAAGTTGTAAATATTCAAAAATGGGTTGTATGTATATTTTAGGAAAAGTCAAGAAGCTACATGGTGATACAATAATGTTGTATATGAAAAATTCTAAACGAAAGTTCAAAAACGGTCATTTGACCGCGCGTGGTAGGTTTAGTGTTAAATTATGTTGAATGGACTTCGGTTCCTTCCAATTTTATAACGAATCTGGTTGTTAATTTTGAAAGTGGCCTAACTCCATTCTTGGTAAGAAAACACATATTATTCACTTAATAATTACCATTATTTTAATAGGAACTATAAATTTAACACCTTTAGATACACTTAAGCAGCATAACTCATTGGTATTCTGTATGTATATTTTTAATTGCATTGAAACACAAAACCTTAAATATATCAATTTAAGTATAAATGGACTTAGGCCACTTTCAAAATAAACGGCTCATATTATACTTGTATACGGACTTCTTACCGTATCAAACGTTCACGTGCTTCTTTTAGATCCTACTCGATGCCATATTGTTCTTTGCTAATTACGAACGATAATTACTTTTGTCCAATTTTCGATTCAATCTGTAAATATTATATACGTATAGCGTACGTAAAACTGTGACGTTCTGTGTCGTGGCTTGCAACTGTTTGTTGCGATCAATCACGATTTTCCCCCTTCAATGTTTTTATAAACTTATTTATTCGAATAATAAATGAAACGTTCGTGTTCCAATAATCGAATAAGATGTACAATAAATAGATCTTATCGTAATAACTTTACCGCAGCATATATTCACAAATTCGAGCGATTCTTAGAATTTTATTGTTAAAAAGAAATGATCCTTTAGTTCATTTTCTTTTTTTGTTTTTTTCTTTAAACATATTTGTATCGCGGATAAGGAGACCTTGCCACCTATGGAAGTTCCAGTTGCTTCGCGGTAGCTATTTCCTGCCTTATTTTACTGCTCCTATGTAAAAACTTAAAGCCATATAGCATATTTGGTAAAGTATATTTATGTATAGACGCTATACGTACAGTTACCGTATGCAAGGATATATATAATATGTACACTTATCAAGCTGAAATCGTAATTAAAAATCGTAGCATGCTATTTTATTTGATTACTTTAATATTTCTCTTATTTTTGCACTATTCTCGAAGAAAATCTTCGTTGCATCACTATAAAAAATCTCTATTTTAGGTGCGAGAAGAAGGATATCGCGACTATTTTGTACATACACGTTCTTCTTTCAGTTCTGCTCTCCATCTTTTTCTTCTCTGTTCTTTTAATTTCTTATTTCTTTCATTTCTCTATTAAATGTACATATGTGTGTATATATTTTTATCCTATTCTTCAGTGTGATGTTTAAAATAATAAGATCAAATTTTTAGGTAGAAATGGGATTAATATTGAATAAATGTTTAAAGATTCAAAGGACTCGATATTAATTTTGGTGATTTCTTTACTTTGAAAGACGGAGAAAGAAATAGTTGGTTCTTTGTATCGATGGCTATCAAAACCTTTTCTATTTTTACTACGCATGCTCTATTCCTAACCTAATTAATCCGTTTAGTACTTATCACTATTACGCTATCTATTACTTATTGATATACATATTTAAACGGCGATAATGACGTAAAGAGAATGTAATATTTTCTTGAACGTATTCGAACGCTTTTTTTGGTGCTGTCCACTCTACGATATTTTAGTTTACATTTTCGAAAGAAAAATGCAAAATAATGGTCTTGTATATATTTTTGGCATTTCATTGATCGAGACATCCTGACCACTTGTGATTTCTATGCATTCCGAATTTATCCACCATTTGAAATATCTTCTCATCTGTGAATTTGTCATGATTCGTTCTTCTTGGTTCGATTTCTCGACAAGTATTCGATGGCATTATATTTTTGCCAAATTTGTAGATTGCAAAACTTACGATAATGATTCAAAATTGACGATAATGATTTTATCAAAGAGAAGTCGAACCAAGGAGTAGTGGCGCAGCATCTTCTTTCTCTTCTTTCATTTAACCTTTTCATCTCCTTTTCTCATATAGTTATATAATACCTATGTATATATACATACACACATAGTCGCACACATAGACGCACATATAGACAACATACACATGTTATATATATATATGATATTCCGGCTAATCGTGCAGAAAACGTTGAGAACAAAAGGAGAAGAGACGTCTTTCTTAAACGGAAATATTCGTCATTGAAACATTGTTCTCAGGTGTTACAATAAGACGTACTTCTTCCCGGCGCCCAAATACTCTGTCTGGTGTACAACGAATGGCACCCTGAATGGTTTTGCCGACATCAAGTTCGTCGTTGCTTGCTGCGACCACTCCGACTTCTGCAATCGCGAGCTATGGCCCTCTTTTCCTCCTCACGAACTCGAGCCTCGACAAGGTTCTCGAAACGACAACGACCTCGGAGGAGGTACAACGAGAATCGCTGTGCGTGCTTTCCTTTCCAAGGACGATGTCTCACCTCGCAAAACGTCTTCTCCTTTTCATCCTATCTCTTTCAACTTTTATCTAAATTCTTTCTTCAAAAATGACACCTATCGATTAGAAACTATCTTAGTACAAGGAAAATTACCTTATAAAAAGTTGACGAACAAACGTTTAGTTGCTTTTTTTTTTGTTTTTTATTCATTCAACATGAATTTTCCAAATAATTTGCATTTAATTACGATAATTATTAAAAATTTGTTGTTAGAGAGAATATGAAAATTGCAAACGCGATACTTATTATCAAGTTTATGCTTCTTCTTTTTAAAACAAACCAATCAATATTGTTCTTTTATCTTCGATTTTTCAATGCCAAAGTAATTTGCATTTACGCGATTTCTCAGAACTCGGGCGGGGAAGGCTCGGAGAGAGATCAGGTTTCGTAAGACATAACATTTGGAAAGAGTACGCACGACGATGAGGGGAAAAAATAAATAAAGAAAGAAAAAAGATTCGGGCTTTTTTACCTTCGACCTTGGGTGCTTATGTGAAAGATCGTTTTGGGCGTTCATTTGCATCGTTCCATATCTCGTTCGCTCGTTTCTCGTTCTCCTTCACATCTTGCTTTTACCTAGCTGACTCCACACATCATACCTACATACACACATGTATACTTGCGTTATATGTGTCACCGTGTCGGTTGACTAATACGCGAGCTCCTTGAGATTGTTTAAGATTCATCGAGTTAAAGAACGTCTATCGATCTTTCTTTTTTATACATTTTTTTTTTTTTTTTTTTTTTTCAAAACTATCAAGGAGAACAGTAGTAAAGTTCAAACGTCTTTTCGTAGTTTTATATAAGTCGAAATGGTATGGTCGTTCTCTATTTGCTCTACGATATCTTTACTGTCTTTTTGTTAAATAACTTTTAAAATAGAAAGTAAAAAATAACAAAGAGAGAGAGACAAATTTCTGCGTTTATTGTTTTCACACACAAAATTGAAATAAAATAATGATATATTTGGAGAGTTTCGGGATGTTTCGACGGACCTGTGACTTTTGTATCGTTCACATCTGTTATTTACAACGAAAATATGTTGGCGAGATAACGCAGTGCTCATATACGTTACTGTCGGATAAGATAACGATTAAATATTTTCATGGCTTCTTTTCTCTCTTTCCTTCTCGCTTTCATTTTCTCTGCTGTATCTACGTTACAACGAAAAGTAAATACTTTGCGATAACGATTTGAAGAAAATGATTTTTGTCGAATACTACTCCTGTTTACTATTTCATGACTGTTCGAGAAAGAATGTCGAAACATACGTTGATCCAGGATTAAAAATATCTCTTTCGTCTTACGCAACCTTGTTTTCGGAATTCCTTTCAATCCTTTTTGCTTCAACTTTCAACAAGGAATAAAATCTCTACCGAATAAAATATTTTTTAGTGTTTACTAAATTAAATAGAATTAGAGAATATATAGTGGTAAGATACAAAAAGACAGTAATAAGTTCATTACGAAAAGTATATCTTTAAAAGGATCTTTTATTTTCACAAGATCTTGTGATCTTCGGTATGTCTCGCAAATTTCTAACAATTTTGTTATACTTCTTCTCCTGTTGTACTTTCTTAGGAAAAAGAAGATCCCTCTCGTGATTTGTCATTTCATGGAACAAGTTTTATGCGAATAAATGCTTTTAGACAATATTTTTTGTCATACACTCATCATCAACCAGTTGGTTTTTCATTTTACATTAATTCGAATGGGAATCATCGTATATCGTCTTACCGTTCGTATCAGAAGATCTATGTCTAATGATGGTATTGGGAGACAAAACAAAGTCGATCGATTTGGTTGAGATTTTGTCTCGAATTTGACTGTTACTACGACGAGATTCGTGATAATCGTTCTCAAGTTTTTTCTCGTTGTGTCGCATTTCACTTAACATAATCCTTGTCGTCATTAACCTCTTAATTATTTTTTTATGGTGTAACATAATAATATTAACAGCATCTGCGTGCGTTAAGAAACTACGTCTTGGTGGAAAATTGCGAAGATTTCGAGGTAAGTTTGAAGGTACAAAAGCCGAAAGTTTTATATCGGTCAATATGACGATCTTTTTTCTTCGTCAAATTCATATTTACTCTGTACAAGGAGTAAGAAAGGTATCCTAGAAATGCACGACAATCTTTTTTCTAGGTATCACAAAGGATTATTTATCAGGTAGGGAGGCTTTCGTAAACGCAACGAAATTATCAAAAAAAAAGCAGTCTTTTCTACGGGAAGATGTAAGAAAAAAATGATTGTTCTCCTTTCTTATCAATTCTATATTTTCCTTTACTTTCATTACTGAGAATGATAAGCATGTTTGGTTATAAGCAGATTCATTTATGAAATGCTATAGAGTGGATCTTTGGCTTTTGGATTTTCAGCTTGCATTTTTAGCGTGCATTGATTGCTTTTCACGTAATATTTTCTTCTGTATTATTAGGGTGAATTAAAAGTTCGTGCGTTTATTCTGTTGTTTCAGATAGTGCAATTTTTTCAAGTCAATAAAATTACTTTATATGCGAGTGAAATATTATTAATAAAAAAAGCGCACGAACCTTTAGTCCAGCTTAATATTTATCTCTTTTCATCTTGCTTTCTTTTGTTCATGTTTGATGGAACGCTTATTCGCTGAACGAATTTACCGTTTTGCCGTTCGAGAATAAAGTTTTGATCCACGGGCGATCTTTAGTAATAAATATAGGATAACAGAAAGTCATTGTCGTCTTTTTAAAAGTGTCGTTGAACGGGGATGATACGTCGTGGGTCACTTGGAAAACGGCCTTAACGATAGCAGTGCCTATAGGCTTGATCGTTCTTACCGTCATGATCATTTATCACGTACAAGTGTCTAAGAGAAGTTCAGCGAGACATTTCCCAGATGATTCGATGGAGGCACCGGACCGGCCAATCCTCGGAGGTGTCACCATTAGGGATATGTTGGAAATGACGACTAGTGGCAGTGGTTCGGGTAGGTCGAAATAAATTAAATCAGTATTTCCAAAAAATATTTCATTCGATCCCGTCTAATTAGATCCCATGTATCGTCTTAAACGTATCAAATAGATTAGAATATTTTGTCCAATGTTCCTTCTCTCCCAAGTAGGTCTGCCACTTCTGGTACAGCGGAGTATAGCGCGCCAGATTCAGCTCGTTGAGACGATCGGAAAGGGTCGTTTTGGTGAGGTCTGGCGTGGTCGTTGGAGGGGTGAGAACGTTGCCGTTAAAATCTTTAGCTCGCGAGAAGAAAGATCTTGGTTTCGAGAAGCAGAAATTTATCAGACGGTGATGTTGAGGCATGACAATATCCTTGGCTTCATCGCTGCCGATAATAAAGGTATCATCAAATTCGCTCGACTAAAGTAATATAATGACCCATTGTTTATGTGCGCGTAATCCCTATTATTCGTATTTGCTTCTAGACAACGGTACGTGGACGCAATTGTGGTTGATCACAGATTATCACGAGAAAGGCTCGCTTTTCGATTACCTAAATAGATCGACTGTAGATACGAATGGTATGATTAGAATGGCCTTGTCGATCGCCACTGGTCTGGCGCATCTTCACATGGAAATTGTTGGTACCCAAGGTAAACCAGCTATCGCTCATAGAGATCTCAAATCGAAGAACATTCTCGTTAAGACGAATGGTACATGCGCGATTGGCGATCTTGGATTAGCTGTTAGACATGACGTAATCACAGATACCGTTGATATACAATTAAATAACAGGGTTGGAACTAAACGTTACATGGCACCTGAGGTAATAAACACGTCACCTGTCTTTCTATATATATACCGTATTCAACGCACATTTTTTTTTGCTTTTCTTAGGTCTTGGAAGAGACGATAAATATGAATCACTTTGATTCGTTCAAAAGAGCAGACGTCTATGCCCTCGGTTTGATCCTTTGGGAAATTGCAAGACGTTGTAACGTTGGTGGAATTCACGACGATTATCAGCTGCCCTTTTATGATTTGGTGCCTTCCGACCCTACGATTGAGGAAATGCGTAAGGTTGTCTGTACGGACAGACAGAGGCCCTCCATACCAAATCGATGGCAGTCGATCGAGGTTAGTTGATCAAATTTTACCTCGATAATTATAAAATACGTATTTGTTTAGACAATATTAAGTAATCTTACGAATCTTTAACAAATTGTTTCAAGGCTCTACAAGTGATGTCAAAAGTAATGAAAGAATGTTGGTACCAAAATGCCGCGGCAAGACTAACTGCGCTCAGAATTAAAAAGTCTTTGGCCAACTATGGCGCTATGGAGGATCTGAAATAGAGTGTTAAGAAGATCAGGAGGGACCATTCCAAAAGTGTCAGTGTTGTAATGCTTCGCAAATAATAGGAAAATGCGATCGTAAGTTAAATGCAAAATTGTATTCCAGAAGAGTATAGAGAATGGATTTTTTAAGCCGAAAATATATATAAATCATTTTATTTATGGCTTTCATCTTTCTTTTTTTTTTTGTTTTTTGGAAAGCATGCCAAATTCAATCGAGAAGTAATGATTTTTGTTTACGATTAGTTACATACTTTTCAAACAAATTGGGGAACATTTCTTAATTCGAGAACTTCGTGGTTCTTTATTATTATTAACCCTTTGCACTCGAGGGCTCCGGAGCGGAGTCATTTAAAATTTGTCTTCAAACTCGAGGACTCCGCTACGGAGACAATGCAAATAATTTTCAGTTTTTAGCCCTTTGCAGTCGAGACGTGACTCTCGCTCACCACATGATTTAATGCCGCAACTCGAGAGGTGACTCTTGCTCACCATTTTGTATGGTGCAGAAATTCGATGCGCGGTTATAACTATTTATCACTTTTTACCATTCCTAAACACTACGTATATAATTTTACAAAGACCCTTTCAAATTACGTAAGATTTTCTTATCTGAGATTAGTGCAATATAATTAAACGGACTGCATTTTCCGCATCAGTTCGAACTTGACAGCCTTGGCAGAAGGAAAAGAAAAATTGATGTTTCTGATCCTCAATACCATAGAAATTATTAATGAAATAAGCTCCAGTGAAGATGAGTTTGATTTAGAGTTGTTAACCAGTTAAGTATGTTTGACGACTATATCCGTCATGGAAGAATGGCAGAATTTTGTGTATAGATAATTTGAGTTGGATTTCTAACTTCCTGAGAGCTAACTCGTAAGCACTGCAGTAACACTGGATCTTTGATTATCCCGATTTTCATCTTGACGTGTCATAACCCAAAAAACAAAGTATATTAGATTCTTCATCTGCGATGATGTCCGCGATGTCTAACCAAAGAAAAATATCTGATTTTTTTTAAGTTTTTCGTTAATTATGTGTAAATATAGCTTTACGTTGATCCATTGTTTAAATATTACTTATAAATTCATTCATTTTCTAAAATAAAGTCGTCTTTTTGACCCAATATTTCAACAGCGCCACTTACTCTGTGTTTGACGACTATATCCGTTATCGCGACACACACTGGGGCGCACTTTGCAAAATAATCGACACAGTTAACTGGTTAAACGAGGAAATTACAGCTATACAAACAGAGAGCTTGACGATAGACAAAACACGAGCAGTGGTGATGATAGCGATGAAGTAAGTGTAAGAAGACGAAAGATCCGACAGTTTTGAATGAATTTGTTATACAGAATCGGAAGAAATCAAATCGGGCCTTGATCGTTTGGTTTGGTAATTGATTGGAGATTTTCGTCGGACACGCGCTTGAGCTTCGACTTCAACCTACGATTCCGAAAACATCCGCCTAAATAAAAAGCTGCATAACATTCTAACAGGAGTTAGTAAGGATTGCAAAGTCTGCTCTCAAAGAAAATAACCCCGTCAAAAGTCATTAAACGATATACTATTGTAATACTTGTTCCGACAAACCGGACATGCATCTCAGCAATTGTTACATGAAATATCATTCAAAACAAAATTACAAAAACTAATGTTTCAGAAATTATCTTCGTAAAGATGTAAAGATACATAAAATATCATAATATAAAAGTTTTATGCTTTAATTAATATGTGCACCTATTTTATGTTAGAGGAAAGAAATTCACCAAAGGCGCGAGTTGCTGGATAGTAGTCCGCGCGGAAACAGTCTCGAGTGCAAAGGGTTAATATAAGAACAAAAACAAATCGTAAAAACAAGTTGTAGGATGTTTCTCTGTTGGTGACGAATGACGAATGCGTATATCATTTTAACTTACATGTGAATATGATCTTTTCATCAAAATCGCTTCGAGTTGCTGGTAATATGAATGAAAAGAAATTTCGAGTGTAAAGGGTTAATATTATTATTTTTCATTTATCGGAACACAACAACAAAGCTAAAGTCAATCGAAAAGCTTGAAAAATGCTTTTGGTTAATCGCAGTATAATCTATGTTACATTACTGCTGTATATTTATTATAATACTATTAAGATAAACTACATAAATTTATCCTGTAGTAACGTTTATGGATTATTATTAAGCGATAATTATAAGTTTATATGTCAGTTCGTATACGCGTGCGTAGGGGATTACTCGACTGTGATGTCGATTAACCACAAATGGTATTCCCAATATGAATAAAGATAACGCAGCGCGAGGCATCTAACTTGATTACTTCGAATAACTTTCAAATTATACACGAAATAAAAAATCACTTCTACAGAAGTTACGTGATATCAAATATTTCTGTATAAATAATTGTTTGTTTAATGTACGATTTTAGAAGTTATTCGAGTTAAGCAAGTTGGATGCCTTACGTTGTATATTAAAACTGATTTTTTTAATCGAATTTCTTTAATCGAATGTGTTCTATCCATGGAGATTAAGGAACAAATCAGAATATTTTGTTTATCGAACACATTTTTATTTATTTCAAGATGTTCTAGATAGTGTTTCTATTTTTAAATACTTCCTTTATATATTCATAAAATGAAACTTATCGTCGATATTTTAACAAGTGCGAGCAGAAACCAAACTTCTCGAGAGCATGTACCGTACAACGTGTGTTACAAGAGAAATGCATATACGCAGACAAATTTTTTCTTGACGATGCAAGCGACGGAAAGAGCTGGTATTGAGAAGAAGTAAACAAAACGTACATGCCATTTATATATTTATTATTTTTAACGAGTTTATCTACACTTTTTTAAATTGATCTTTTCGATGAAATACAAGCAAGCAAGAATCATGATTTTGAAAATATTTTTATCTTATTATATTAGGTCTACCGGAAAGTTCTGTCCAATTGTGTTACTTTAAGTTTTAATCCATATGCACATGTTGATTTGAGACATATATAAAGAAGGTTGCTGGAAGGACAAGAAGTCATAAGTAACGATGGAAAGTATATTATTAAATGTATAAAAATTGTGTTATGTTCTTTCAATTCAAAAACGGATAGAACTTTCCGGTAGACCTAATAATTAACGATAAAATTTTGAAATGTTCAACTATTTGTAATCTTTTCTTTATGCGCAATCGGGGAATAGGTAAGCGAGAAGATAAAACTCTTACATTGAAACAGAAATATTCCAAAACGATACGAATGAAAAGAGAAATTTGCTTGATAAATGGTAGTTTCATAATGCGAAGAGCTTTATCGCAATTTCGTTGATATTGGAAGGCCTTTTATCTACGACCAGTTATCTTTACTGATTGACTTAAATATATATACATACGTATATACGCGTCCACGCGTGTAACGTTTTTAACGTAGATATAACCAAATATTTCTCTTAAGACGTACGCTTTGCAAGTTGATCGCGACATGCTATGGTATTTCCCGCGAATATGTCGAAACGTATTTCCTTTGTAACACAGGAAGGCTGAAATTGAAGGGTGCTAAGCTCAAGAGCGACTGTAAAGTAGTGTGAAAGGAGGAGAGCAAATGAGTTAATGGTAGCGAGAGTGGTTTATGCGAGTATGAAAAAAAAGAAAGAAACAAGTAAACAAAGAAATGAAAAATTGCGAACGAGAGACGCTAATAATAAAAATAAAAAAGAAAGGAAAAAGAGAGAAAGAGAGAGAAAGAAAGATATAAATTGGAGAATCTATATTTTCAGGAATTTTTTAATGGAATGTTACGGGAAGAGAGGCAAAGAGAAAAAGAAGAAGGGAATGAAAAATGTCACCATTCTAATGAGCTACAACGTATGAATTATTGGCGACGTTGTAATCTTTCTTTTATGAGCACAATTTTCTACTATTTTCCCAACGTCTTTCTTTAGTTTCTCTTTTCATCTTCCCCTCTTCTTCTTCTTCTTTTCTTTCTCTTTCGCGTTGAGATCGACAGACAACACGAAAGTGAACGGTTGTTTGGTGTTTGTACGATATGTTGTGTATTTTGTACGACGAAAAGCAATCAATACGAACGAGAGTTTATAAATTTGGCATTGATCGAATGTACGTATGATATGCACTAGCAAGCTTCATTAATAATTATCTTATCCTCTGATAAACATTAATATTTTTGCTACGACGAAGTTGTTTGCAAAGCGTAATATTGTACTTTTTCATATTATGCAAATTATTAGTTTAAAACATCGGGATAGAAAACTTTGGTTATTGCGAAGAAGTACTATGTTTTCACCTAAAGTTCTCTTAATTTATCTTGATAATTTTGCCACGAGTGTCTATTAGCGTACCAACGTTCAACGTTGAATCTCTTTAGTAAAATTTAGTTTATTTTTTTTTTTATAGAAGAAAAGTTAAACGCAGCTCATTTTTTTACTGTAAACCATGAAATAGCTGGTTGAAATGAAACAATAAATAATAACTTTCGAATGATTGTAATAAAATAAAATCAGGCGAATCATTGGAAAGTCGTTGCACGTTGTTTCATTTTTTGGAAATAGTAGTCTGGCGAGGAGTTTAATATTCATTAGAGGATAAGATACTGAATAATAAAGCAGACGACGATAATTTTGTATTGGACGAATATAGCGAGAACGATTGCAAATATGGCAATGCTTTCGTATGTAGTAGTGCTCGCACGATAAGAATAATCGTCGAAGACGAAAGAAAGAAGGCGAGATAGAGATAGAGATACATAGATGAGATGGACAGATAGAGAGGGTTTAATAATCTTCGTCATCCAATAATCAACGTTAAAGTAAATATAATTATGTAGCGAAAGCAAGAGTCCTTTTAAAAAACATAATCGTATTTTTATATATTGTTTTTTTTTATCGATGACACCGCGCTCGGTCGCTGCGTTCACTTCCTCTTCCGTTTTCTAAAAGCATCGGCTATTAAATGCTTCGGGGTTTAAATTATAAGTGAAAAGTCTTAAGTTGAAGAAGAATTTTTGTCGCTTTTCTTTATGATAATATAATTATTCAAGATCGCGATAGAATAACAAAAGAAATAAATCGTTTTTGTTTTCCTAATCTCGGCAAAGAAGCGAACATACATTTATAATTGGCTTTTATGATGGTGTAAGAATGGATTCATTTAATTCAACTGCCGCAGATTGCGATAGAGATAAGACTGAGAAATATTAAAATAATAAATAGTACGGGCGCTGGATACATATCTTACAGGGTTTATGTGAACTTTTCTTAATAAACATAGCAAACGGTGTAGATGATTTTTTACGAAGAAGGTACGGTTGACAGGACCGTAAATTTCGATTCTTCTCACATCGTGACAAGTTTCTTTTCTTCTAACCAGAATTGAAACTAAGGATTATATCCTGTTACACTGTACGATTTATTCCATTAATGGCATAACAAATCGCATGTCCCAGAAGACTGTTTAGATTTAAACTGGTCGGTTATTCGCGATAACCATTATTTATGATCTTACCGAATCTTATAGGGACCTAATAATGAACAGTCAATTTGAAGGTAATTAATGTCTCTCGATAGCTTTGATAATTATTATACTTATATCATTCTCGTATGTAAATCGTAACGAACAAATGGTTCGAAGTAAAACTCTATTTGCTCACCTTTTATGTACATTCCTATTACGAAGTAGGCTAATTTATAAAATATGTAAACGAAAGGGCAAGCCGTACGCGTTGACGAATCTTTATACACGAGTTGCGTGATTAAGTAAATTCATTAGCCGTTTCGATAACGAACGTGGGCCTTTCATCGACGCGATATTTCCGCAGATATTTCCGCAGATATTTCCATACTGCTAGTACAACTCTGTGCCAATACCCAACCAAATGTTAACTAAAGCAGAAAAATTAGTAATGATAATATTAGTTGATGATCTTCGTAATTACATCCTCGCCACTTCCTTTATAATAAATCACACACGTATGATACATGCGCACAGGGACGATAC